CCGTAACTCAAGAATCGCATGTGCAGTGCATGAACTAAAGAAAGTACTGTTCTCGTATAAAATAAAAGGGTTTAATCCTAGTATACAGTACCATGAAGTTAGAATAAAAAAAATATGTATTATAAAAAGAAGAAAACCTCTCTGCAACAGACTGCTCGGTTCCATCATAGCGGGAACAGCTGTGCATGCGCGATATATCTGTCGCCAAAGCTCGAAACCGGTGTCGAAGTTTGAAGGTCACGTTATCAAGAGTTCATAAAATGAATATCATTTAAAATGTCCTTAAACTCTAAAGGAAAAGAAAATATTTTTTGGCGCAAGTAAATTAATTCATGGATTAGTTATTTGAGGGGGGGAATCTACGAAAATCCATTTTTAAAATTATTGCAAAAAATCCAAGAAAAAAACGTTCTTTTGATAAAACGTTTCTTCTTGGATTTTTTGCAATAATTTAAAAACGAATTTTTTTAGTTTTCTTTTTTTGTCAAAGAACGTTTCTTAACACGTGTTTCTCAAGTTCCTGTACACATCGCGGAGAGGGAAATTCTGGCCGTTCCATCGTCAAATCCCTTGGCAAATTTTCTCTCCCCTTTTTTCATAGACGTTCTTTGGTGAGAATAATCTCCATGTATGGTACAGTGAGATTTGGCGACATGATGATGAGCAGTAAACGGGTCATTTTGTTCTTTGCGACAATTTTCAAAATCATGCGAAGGCCGTATCGTATACTAGGATTTTACCGCAAAATCTTTTTCTTTTCTTTTCAATAAATACCTTGTCATTTTGCAGTAAAATAAAAAAAATAGTAATCAATCATCTAGGATAACCAAGAAATATAACTATATTCGCTAAAATATCGTTGATTATTCTAATTAAATTTTTAAGTAATTATCTTATGTTATTCATATCATTTAATGTTGCTTTTTCCCTCTAATTTATTTATCATTAGTAAATAATATTTCCAAATTTCAGGAAATTTTCTCTGGCATAATCCTGAAATTATTCTAGCAGTATGATGACATCACGAAATTTAATGAGCATATGTTTTCCTGTGTATGCTGCGAAATAAATACAAAATACCTCAATTTAGTAAAAAAATATCATAAATAGATTTCTTTCTTTCGTTTAGCTGCAGAATGTCTGCAAAAATACCTTATTTTATTCCAGATTGGGCAGATTCTAATCTCAATCTTCAGTGGAGAAACAACTCCTATTATAATTATATTTGTGTTTTCAAGTGTTAAGGTGCCTTTTAAGAATACACCTCACCAAATTAAATTTACCTAAAATCTAACCTAACTTTTGCATTGCGTTGTGATTTATAAGAACCGGATTAGCCTCGTGTTGAACTGGGATGATCATGAGTAATAAATAAATAAAACGTACAGTTGTTATCCAATGTATATATATCTTAAATTTTATTAGTTTTTTAAGCGGAAAGGAAAAGTAAACAAAATTATCAAACAATGTGTACCAAGAATAATTAAGAATAAATGTCCTCTGGGATTTATTGAATAATTAAGTGAATTTGCTACACAGTACCGTAATTAATTTACCTCTTAGCACAGCCAACGTACATTACGCAGATAGACTGGAATTTTCTCGAAACAGACCTGGAAAACCTGGAAAAGTCAGGGAATTTCATTCTCCTGTTTGAGTGGCAACCCTGATGATATAACTATCTTAGATTGTAAAACTACTAAATTACCATGTAGAGTACCAATCAAAATCCTCTTCACTGTACTCATCTACAAGACTATGAGCTGTAGCTCTCAGCTGTAATAAGCAATGTCCCAATTATAACACGTGTATTAATTTCCATTAGTCTCATTCTAACATTTAAATTGATGTAACATTCAACTTTCAGTTATTTAATATGCTATTCATTATATAAATATATCTGCCTATAAGAACAACACTGGAAGTGGTGTTTATACTTTGATTTTGCTACAGAAATTTAGCAAAAATTAAAAATAATGTAAAAGCCAAATTTTAAATTGCCTTTTAAATCCAGCTATACATCACTAAAAATGCAAATAATTGGTCCAATAAGGTGAATGTGATTGCCAAATCATCATCTATTCAAAAAACAGGGAATCTATATTGATAAAATATGATTAATGTGTACTAGGATTAAATAAAATATTGTTACATGCGTATGGGTTTGTAACGAATGAATGCACATAGATCCGATGATAGCTTGATAAAATTTACTTTCCCAAAAGAAAAACTTTGAAGTTCTGAGACTTTTCACAAAAGTACTCATACAGCTCTTCTTGGTATGGTAGAGTACAAATAATAGTTACCACTTTAAACTATTAAGAATGTTAAATGCAAGACAGAATTTTTTAAAAAATCTTCAAATGCATAAGCTTGCAAAATGATCTTTCAGTATTCTGATATAAACTAAACTGAAAACTGATGCTGTCTTTTGTCTTACATAGTTTGCCCCATGTGCTGAGAAATTTCTAGGGCTTTCCATTTCTCGATTGGTTTGGTTTATTTGATTTCCGCAAAGCATTCAAGGGCTATCTGCCTAAAGGGTGGGCTGCTTTCACAGAGGACTTTCTAAGGGAAACTGGCTCATATATATGTTGCATATGGAGAAAACCACAAAAACGCCCATGCAACCAGCCCATTTGCAGCATTCGAACCTTGGACCGAAAACTATCAGTGTTCAGCAACTTTACAGTTCGGCTGCTGGCCATTTCTTGAAATTGCTGAAAGGCATACACAGTTACTGTTACATAAAGTCAGATACAGTTACCTAGAGATTGACCTGATTACAGTTACACAGAGATCAGCCCAAATGATCGGCAAGTTTGGCAACTTTTGACGGTTTCTCGCCAAATTTTGTGACAAAAATTAGTTGCCAAAACCATTGTCGGCTAGGTGCTATCTCGCCAGTTTGGCAAGATAATAACCATATTCTCAATATTAAATGGACTAACCTTGTAACCTTACTTTTCCAACAATGATTCGTATCTTCAGGCTTCTTCTGTTACATTATACAAGAGATACTATAATTTACATTAATAATTTCACTAAAATGACTCACATACATACAAAATTTGTAACAATATGTTTTCAATAATTTAACCTACGATATCGGGGATTTTTTAGAAGAGAGGGGGTAAATCATTGTGTATTTGCTGATAAACCAAATTTTAAACTTACGTAATAAAAAACTGGCTGAAAATTCTCGGCTTATATATAAAATATGCTGTATTTGTTCAGAAATTAAAGTCTGCAACTATAAGCATTTTGATGTTTTTTGTTGGAAAAATATCCATTTATCAAGGGAACTTGTAGGTGATTTCTTACTTTATTTTTATTTATTGTCACTATTGAAAATATTCTTTCAGTTATGCTGGTGAATGATGGAGTCACAATATAGACTAAACTATGCCGACCAGCAGCCAAGCAGTAAAGTTACTGAACATGAATAGTTTGACTTGGATTCAACTCCAGGCAAATGGGCTGGTTGTATGGGAAATTTTCATGTTTTTCCCAATGTAGCTTCCCTTAGAAAGTTTTTCACAAAGACATCCTTGCCCCTTAGGCAGCTAGCCCTCACATGCTTTGTTGTAATCAAATAAACCAAACTAGATTAAACCAGTATTATTACATTGGGTGATATTTGTTCTTTTCAACATTTTCCATTTCAACAATTTTTGCAATTTTGAATGCTTTTACAGGATATGTATATATTTCTGCATGTGAAAATTAAGCACCGTAAAAGATTTTTAGAGACCATCAATGAAAAAAAAAAAAAAAAAAAAAGAACCTATTAAGCAAATAGTAACTGAATAAACTAAAGCAATTATCTACATCTGAACTTCACTTTCATAATTTGTAAGAATAAAATAAATCTGTAAGTAGGATACATTATTATTAAACATTATCAAATATTTAACTAATTATAAAAGAGATTCAAGAATAAAATTAACTTTACAATTTTTTCAAGTAATTAGCATTAAATTATCAAATTTCTTGAAATGTTTATATTTTATGCTTATAATAGTCCCATATATTTTAAAGAAGATTAGTGGCTTTTTATTTAAATTTTACTAACAGTTAAACTTTATATTGATTCTTTCTTTTATGCCTCATTTTGTCCTGTACTCTCTCATTATTCACACAGAGGTATATGCAAATTTTATGTGAAGTGGTATAAGTTAAATTATAAAGTAAAATATTAATCAGCATGACTCATAACAGAAGCTTGGGTGTTGCCACTGCAGGTGCTTGCTTAGAGAGAGAGAACTACCGAACAGAATAGACATGAATGCCTGATGTTGGTTAAGTATTGAAAGTTAGTTGCATTTAGGCACAGTCTAGGTGGCCCAGTTAGTCTCATAGCTTCATGTAGATTTGCTGAAGTTATAACCCATTCAATATAAAATTCCAATAAGCCACTGAAGTACCAGAAATGATATGTTATTTTGTATTATTTTAAGTCTCATTAGTTGTGAGGAATAAAGTTTTATGTTAATTTCTACATCTTTGTGTTGTATCTTGTATCCATAATTAGGATTAAGGAAAGAAAATAACTCACCTTAACATGTAGAGATAACTTCCAAGGGTGAACAGTTAGGTACAAATAATTAAATTATGTAGTTAGATACTCTTTGTCATAATAGATTTACATGATTATAATTTTTTTATATTTCTAAAAAATATACATTAAAAAAAGCACCAAGAACTTTTTACAGCATTTTTATAATAATGATTCTAAAATGGTACATATTAGTATAACTATATGTTTTAATATATAATACAAAACATTTATGTTTTGTAACAACAAAATGTTTATGTGTCTTTTTAATTTGAAATGCTTTTTAATTTGGAAATTATGCATCTTTTTAAATTTGAAAATTTTGTGAATGAGTCTTTTTAATTTGAAAATTTAGCTAATTTACATCAATTTCCACCTTTAGCACTTTTACAAAGTTATGAAATGTTTTCTTATTCACATTTGTCACTATATTTCTTTGCAGAATTTCAAAAAATCCTCCTCGAACTAGCAGTCAATATGAGCTTTCTCAGTGGATGTGTCAAATTCATAATAATGTGAACAAAAAGCTCGGGAAACCTTTATTTGATTGTACTAGTGTTGATGAAAGATGGCTTCATGGTTGGAAAGATGGATCATGTGATTGATCTTCATGTGTATATTAATTTAATAATGAATATTATGAATGAATGTTTAATAGTTTATTTTTTACTTAAAATGAGAATACGGATTCTGCTAAATAAATTCTCTTATAAAATATTCTTTCGGAGTGGCTCATGTTGATTGACAAAAACAATTTGTTCTCTTAGATTTTAATCTCAGAATTTTTTATTTTATCATTATATATATATATATATATATATATACATGTGTGTGTGTGTGTATTTTTAAATTTTGCATAGATCCACTAAAATCTAAATTTAAAATTCAGTCTTATATTTTTGAAAGCTACACAAATATGTTCAGTATTATAGACTATCATTCCATTAAACAAAGCATTGATTTTTTTAATAATTACCCTGAAAGCAGAGTATTACGTTTAATATTCAATGGAAAATATGACATTTTCTTAAAATTTTAATAATATAGTCTTCTTCCCTCTATGTGAAACCCCCTCCCTTTTTTTTTGAAGTAAAAATGGTCACAATTTACTTAAAGAACCTACAGATCTTGTCTTCTTATATAAATAAAATTTCTTCTCAATTCTGGAAATCAGTAAGCATATAATATAACCTTCGATAATTATAGGGATACAGATTACACGAAAATAAAGGCACTGTGTTTTGCTGCATTTCACATATTAGTTCTTGGTTTCAAATGGCATAAATGAACTGAATATAATAGTGTATATGACTATTTAATGAATCAGAAAAATTAAATGTATGTCATAAGTAACTGTATCATTTTGAAAACTTGCTCAAAATCTAAACTGAATTCAAATGCTGTAAATGCATTTGAATTAGCTTTAGCATTCCACTTTATTTATTTTAATAGCCAGGCTTATATAAAAGCTTTTATTTCATTACAAAAGTAATTCCTATATCATGTATTCTATATACCACCCCTCTTTTTTTTTTTTTCAATATATATATAATATACAGTACAAAGTATGAGATCCAGACTCATTGGGACTTAGGCAGTTTTGAATTTGGGATTTTTCTAGGTATTAAATCATTGGTTTAAATCTAATAAGATTACGTGTAGAAATTATAAAAGTAAAAACATGAAATAATGAAGGATTTATGACTTTAAGGGAATCAAAATTTACCAAACAAAAAAGTTACTTATTTGTTTGCTGCATTGAACATTTCTTTCAATGCAAATAGCTTAATTTGCTTCATTTTCTTGGGCTAATGCTTCCACTTTAAATATATAGATAGACATAGTTTTTTGTTCAATTACAAAGTTTCACTGTTCAAGTTTTCTAATTGCTATCAAAATTTCTTCGTTTTCAGCAACCTCTGCCACTATCTTTTGGATTTAGAACAATACTACAGAGTTTGCTAACCTTTAGCTGGTTGATGATTGGAGCATCATCATCACAATGTAATAACTTCAAAGCATTAGAGTGATAATGCTGTCAGTGCTTGTAAGCTTAAGAGAAGTGATGTCTAATCCATTAGCGAGAATATAAAAAAATTGTATATGATAGAAACAGAAGGGAAAAAAATCATATACCCAAATTATCATGTTTTATGCTAAATGCTAGTTAAAAGTGTTTAAAAGCCTTATTTTTAGTTGGAAACTATAAGTATTAAAGTTCCTATAAACTGGAAGGTATTGCAACAAAAAGACCTTAGGATTATACAAGGACTGTCAAAATATAGCTGGAAGGGAGGGGGACCAAGCCTTTTACAGCCAACAGAGCAAACTTCACTGTAAAATTTTTAAATATAATACTTTTTTTATTACTTTGTCGGAAAGTGGAAAATTTTTTATTTGTTTAAACAATTCATTATTTTATACAAAACAAGAACTGTTTAATTTCTTAACTTTTATGGATTAGTTTAAATTTTCAGAGTTGTTTACTTGATACATCCAAAGACAAGAAAGAGTATATATCATAATGTAAATTTTGAAGAAGAAAAAATAATATAGTGCAATATAAAATAATGTAATATACAGTATATTTTATTAATATTATCTAACTGTGCCAAATTTGTCAGTTAAATTTTGCTGAATTTATATACCACATTATATGAATGTCTTGTTTTACATAGCATTTGCTGTTTGCTGTTATACGAATATCCACAGATATGGGGATACTATTGTTTAGATATATGTCTATACATAAACATATGTATGAAGTCGGAACATTAACCCTTTGCGGCGTGGTGGGTCAATATCTGTCCCACCTAATTAATATTTTTTTTTCTCAGTTAGCAATTCCCATTAGAAGTTTTCTAATCTTTTAAAAGTAATCGATTTTAGTTATTAGTTTTCTCAGTAGATGTCACTACTATACCAGGGCTTAAGTTTATAAGCAAAAAATATTCAAAATAGGATCACAAGAGTGATATGCAGGTATCTCGCATTTTTCAATATTTTAAAAAGTTTGGTATACAATTTAGGATATCTATGATTGTTTTTAATGTTCAAAGGTATTTTATTTTCAAAAATCTTAATTGGATTCAATATTTTATAGTATTAATTTTGCAGTTGAAATAAGTGGGTTAAAATTTGTCCCACCACACACTTGAATTTCCGCTCAATAGATGGCAGCACTCACGATTGTTTTTTTCCTTTTCTTTTTTGCATCTACTTTTTTCGTGATTGCGCGCGCTTTTACATCCTTTGTTTGCTCTGATGTGCTAAAATGTCTAGAAAAAAATTAACAACTCAGGAAGCTTTGGATCTTTTTGCTGAAATTGCCATCCGATTGCGACTCAAATGCTTCAGATGTCAGTTCTGATTCAGATGAAATTGAAATCCAGGAGAGAATAAACTGAGGTTGAAGTTATTGCTGAAGAAGAAAGGGATACCTGTGAGAATGAGGCTGAATTTACAGAACCCTCAGAATCTTCTGTTCCGTGCTGGAACAAACAAGAAGTTGATATTTCACTGCCAGAATTCAAAGAAGATTCGGGACCGACAGGTGAGATTTTTGATTTGGATGATCCAACACCTGTAAATTTATTTTTAAGTATATTCACACTTAAGTTCATTGAACATATTGTTTTTCAATCAAACTTATATGCAACACAGAAAAACAGTGTATTTTCCCCTCTTGATAGTAACGAGTTTTTGCGATTTCTCGCTGTAAATTTGCTAAAAGGGCCGTAAAAAAAGTTTCCAAGTTATCCGGGACTACTGGAGAAGTACTCTACAATTACACGATGATTATACGATGATTATATAGCAAACATAATGCTTGTCAAACAGCTTCAGTTGGATATTGGGAAATTTTCATATAAATGATAACTATGTTACAACCTAAGAAGAGGGGAAGCTAATTTTGAATAAGGCTATACAAAATACGCCCTCTTTCAAATCATCTCTCAGAAAAGTTTACGGCAGTTTTTAATCCCAATGAAAATCAGGCAATTGACAATTCAATGATTCGCTTCAAAGGGACAAGCAGCCTAAAGCAGTATATGCCTAAAAAACCCATCAAACGCGGTTACAGAGTATGATTTACATGCCAATTTGAAATTTGTTCTGCGAAACTCGGTGACTATGTCGAAAAAAATCTAGGTGAGATAGTAGTGAAAACTTTGTGCCAGCCTCTTTATGGTAAGAACCATAGAGTTTTCATGGGCAACTACTTCAGTAGTTATAATTTGTTTAGCTTTTTAAAGACACAGAACATCTATGCATGTGGCACTGTAAATATGAATCGGAAGTACCTACCCAAAATTTAAAAGAAGACAAATTTATGTCGAGAGGAGATATAGACTTTTCAGTTAGCGATGATTCAATTTATTGCATAAAATGGAAGGATAAAAGATCTGTTTCTATCCTGTCTTGCTTGGAAAAGGCAACTGAAATGAAAGAAATTAATAGAAAAGAACGAGATGGAAAAACAAAAAAAGTACTGTGCCCAGACTGCATTATTTCATATAATAAGAATATGGGATATGTCGACTTATTTGATCAACTGAAAGGATTATATGAAATAGACCGCAAAAGCAAGAAATGGTTGCACAGGATCTTTTTTTACTTTTTAGATGCGAGTATAGTAAACGCATTTATTCTATTTAAGTTTGTTCGCAAAAGTGATCATGATGTAAAAACAATGAAAGATTTTCGTCTCTCAGTTATAGAAGGTCTAATGGCACTTGCAGGCAAGAAAGAGCTGAAAAGAAAACTGAAATCCCCAGTTCAAATAAAAACTAAAAAACCGTTCGTACAATCAGAAAAGAGACTAAAAAATGTAAGTCACGCGCCAAAGAGAACTAGCAGGAGAAGATGTGCACATCGAAAGAAGAACGACGAACATTTTGGATGTGTGAACCATGTGAAGTGCCTCTATGCTTAAAAAAGAATGAAACAACATGTTTTTCAAAGTTTCATGAAAAATGACTTTTCAATTTAAATCATATATAAATGATTTGAATCAAGTGTCAATTTTAATATTTTTTTAGTATCATATGTACGAGTATCAATTTTCAATTTTTCTTAAAATAATATCCAAGAAAATATTTTCTTTTGTTCCTAAAATTTAAAATTATTAAAATATATAGTACAAAATGCATTTTAATGTATTTATTATCAATATTTTAGAAAGCATGCTTTATTTTGTTTATTCATTCCACATACGATTTGTTTTTCCTGCTATACACCAATATGCTATAAGACATGTGCTAGTTGCATGGTGGGACAAACGGTATCTCACCTTCCCCCGTAAAAAATAAAAATGCAGAATTTTTTCCAAGCCTGAAAGGCACTTAAGTAAGTCTATCTGACTTATTCTAAGACATTTTTTTAAAGATTAAAATATATTTTAAATATGCGTGTCGCAAAGGGTTAAAGGAAATGAAATGCCCAAGCAAAACTGAGAATCTGTCCTTCATTCATTAGATATTTATAAAATTCCTAGAAATATTGTTATAATATACACTGCTCAACAATGAAAATGCAACACCAAGAAGGAGTGGTAAGAAAGTGATGAAATTTGGAAAAAAGAGAGAGCAAGCAGCAATAAGTGATCTTTATTTCAAAATGATAGTCACAATACAGAGCGAGAACGGCGTCAGCTCAGTAGAATGTAGGACCACCGTGGACAGCAATACACGAAGAAACACATCTAGGCATAGAGTCAATAAGAGTGCGGATGGTGTCCTGAGGGACGGCTCTCCATTCCCTTTCAACCATTTGCCACAGTTCGTCTTCTGAACGAAGCAGGGGCAGAGTCTGCAAACGGCATCCAATCACTTCCCACACATGTTCGATTGATAGGAGAGTATGGTGTCATACTAGTTGTGTCATACGTTGATAGGAGAGTATGATTGTCAGGAGAGTATGGTGGCCAGGGAAGCATTTGTATGCCTTGCAGAGCATGTTGGCAGATGCGAGCACTGTGTGGTTGGGCGTTATCCTGCTCAAAATTTGCATTAGGCAGCCCCTGAAGGTAGGGGATTGCTACCGGCCACAGTACATTATCCAAGTATCGTTGGGCCGTCATAATGCCCTGAACCATTATGCCACGTTGTTGCATGGTGGGGCGTCCCACAGTTACTGCCGGATTAGATCTGTCTCCACATCAACGCCACACACGCATGCAACGACTGTTACTGGATAAGCAGAAGCGTGACTCATCTGAAAACACGACGTTTCGCCATTTTGTCATCCACATCATTCCAGTCCAGCACCATTCTAAACATTGGCGTCTATGCTGTGGGGTCAATGGCATTCTTCTTAATGGACGCCGTGAGTGCAGGCCACATTCAACCAATCGACGGGAAATGGTTCTGGTCAACACAGGAACAACCAGGGTATGTTGCACATGCTGCAGAATCATGGTTCTTGCGGGACCGCCACAACTTGTCGGCGGATGCGTCGATCCACGCGTGCTGACGTCACTCTGGCTGCACCTGCACCCCTCCTTCTTCCCACATTTCCTTGTTCCAAGCATGTTCGCCATAGCCAATGCGCATGCTCGCATCCATGTGGGTATCAGCTGCGATTTGACATAAGGACCTACCCACCCTTCTCAGTCTGATCACCATACCCCTCGTAAAATCATCTATCTGCTGGAAGTGACTTCGTTGACGGCGGCCTGGCCATTCTCTCCTATTACACGTATCCTCCAGGACAAAAACCAGCTTTCTTCGATAATTCGTCTGGCAGAAATAGCGACATGAATATTGCCCATTCTGAACTTTCCTTCCTTTATATCTTACTTCACGTGCGTCGGAGAGCTGCACATTTCACATCATTCACATAACTCAGTGACGTGTGTCTACTCTAAAATTTGCATAAATTTCTGACCACTCTTTCTTGGTGTTGCATTTTCAATGTCGAGCAGTGTATATGTAAATATATAGAACAAACCAGAAAGTCTTTCAAATTCACAGCAAGGGAACATATTTCATTTGATAATATACGTTATTTGATTATAACATATTTTATATTAAAAATCATTATTTGTAGATCCCATAATCAAAGTTACTACTTATGCCTGATTGCTGATCAATTTTGATTTTTATATTTCCAAATTCTTTCTTAATAGTAATTTCATGAATGATGTAGTTTCTATTCTGTTCTTGTTAAATGTTCAAAAAAATCTGTTCCAAACATCATCTCTGTTCTTTTGATAAAGTACTGCAATTTCTGCATGCAACACTGTAATTTCTATTGCAAGTGTTAACAGTTACAAAGTGCTTTAAAATTTGATTGAATTTCAATGAAACTGCAGCCAACAATGAATAAATTTTGTTTATTTGCTCTTTTTATGTTGAATTTTTCATTTGTTTTTTCATTGTTTCATAGGACAAAAATTTATTTTTTCCATAACTATCTTACCTTATGCATTCATTATTCATTAAAGCACTATTAGTGGCTCCCATAAGTGCCCTCTTTAGCACTATCTCTCCTGCCCTCAAGCAACCTTTTAGGTGGAATGCTTATCGGCCTATCTGTCACTAAAATAAACTGCAATCTTGCAGATGTTTTCAATAATTCTTATTTTAAATAAAACAGAATGACAGTTAGAGATATTTCTAAGACAATACAGGAGAATTAATAAATTCTTCAGAAAATATTGAAATTTAACAATTCCAGGTATTAAGAAAATTTTTATTAGAGTTTTCTGTACAATGTTTGTTCATTTGGGGAGAGAAGACTAATATAAAGGCTAAATCTGCTTATTTATGCACATTTGTAACATAAATATTGAATATCAACTATATTTATAATTCTTTATATTATACTCTTCTTAAATCCATTTTTCAATAGGAAAGTACAATACAGTTTTATTACTGTGTTAATGTTTAGAATGAATAAAAATAATAAAAATACCAAGAATAACATTGCAGATGTTTGATAATCTTAAAATCATATAATTATTTTTACATATATTTTAGAACAAAGCATACCTAACAATTGAAATTTGACTATATCATATGATCACGTTTTGTAAACAAATTCAAACGAAGAATACCAGAAAATTACATGTATTGCATTTTATGTACTAATGTGCAGTTATGATTACAAATGAATGCATAAAAACAATAATATAAATAATACTGTTTGAAAAAAGAAAAAAAACACCAAATATATTTTCTTAAAAATATAGCTTAAGCCTTTGTTAACTAAAATCGATACAAAAGTCTCATTCAATCATATAAAACATAACATTATGCTGTTACATAAATTTAAACTTAAAAATATGTTGTAGTTTGTATATGTATCATAAAATGGTTAAGTTGCTAAAATCTATAAAAAAAAAAAAAAATTCAGTATAATAAAAATACCACAAAATTGTAGCATCATATGAACAAGAGATTTGTAAAACTAATTTTTGTATCTAATTTCTATTGTATTACATCTTGTGTGACTCTATACTGCATTTTTAAGGAGTTTTGGGTATTTTATATACAAATATGTTTCATCGCTACATAAAATTTTATGCCCGAAATTTATATTTATAAAATTATCATAAATTTAGTAATCAATTAATTCTTATTTGCATATCATTTTATTGATTTAAAAAATTTTGAGCATTGAAAAATGATAAGCTGGTAATTGGCAAAGGTTAAGAGAAAAAAAATTAGGTTAACAATCTTAAGATTTTATTGTCATGTTTATGCATGACTACAGGTATTTCAATATAGTAGCAATATATTAAATTAGTGCAAGTCTCACTAATCATTCTTAAAATGTGGATATTGACATGACAAATAATGCTCGTCTTTTCAAAATTTGGGATTATGTGTGATATTTTGAAATCATGCAGAATGCTTCCTTACTTGCTAAACTGTCTGAAAGTGAGTAAAGCTGCAAGAGATCTGTAATTCATCCTGGGTCTGCCTCTCAATGCTTCACACTTAATTACATGAGTTTTTCTTTCAATATGTTTTGTGAACCTGAGCTAGTTTCTTTTAAAAAGTCCTTAAGAAAGACATCTTTCCACTTGCAAAAAAAGGGGAGTGGACTGCATGTCTTGTTATAAATGATTAAGCAATCAAATGACTAGATTCCCAAGTAGCTAAATATGTTTGTACAGAAGAAGCTTAGTTAAAAGTTATATATATATATATTTTCAAAGGATTTGTAAAAATTTTCCTCTATTTTTAAATAAGGGGGGCTGTATCCAGTATGAAGCTGTAATTGTACATTTCTTCTTTTACATTATAAAATCATGTTTCATAGTTATCTAGAGTTTCTGATGAGTAATTACTATTGAAGTGTATTGAAAATATGTTTTGGTTAGCTTATTTGTGTATTATATTAAGGTTATTAAATTCAATTTGTAACCAACTCCAAAATCTAACTTCAAAATAGCTCATTATTGACATAGCTTTTGCACCTAATATAAACATTTTGTGAAATTAATGCAAGTAATACTAAAGTGTCAGTGTGGCTTGGTAGTTACTTCCCGGTAAAGGAAAATATAACCTTCTCAACCTGAAGAGATAAAATATTACAAAATTAACATTACTATATTATGTTACTTAAAAAAAGCATCTCAGGCCACATCTGCCTTTCTCTAACTTCTCTCATAACTACTATGATAATGCTTGTCCTGAAGAGATTCCAATCCTCTAATTTTCTCATCCAAAATCCATTTATATTTTAATTATAGCTTATCTTGAGTAGAATACTCAATAATTTTGGCAATTAGAAAGAATTTTATGACATCATCATCAACTAATTTTCCAAAAATTCAAAATTTTGTTCTTTTGATTCTGTATTTTTATAGGAACATTTGTAAGTCATATAAAACAGATGACATATGCAGATATAAAATAAAACTACATAATTAAGATTTGCAATATCTATCGTTTGACATTTCATTTTTAAATAAGAATTAATGGTCATATGAATCTTAAATGAATAATTTTTACAATAGTGAATCAGTCAAAAATCAATCCAAAATTTTTAAAAATCATACACTGAAACAATCTTAATCTGTAAGCAATAAAATATGATTTATTGATTTTGCATGGAATTGGAAATATCACGCAAGTTGACAATTATATTAATTTTTTATGAATTTACATATTTTTAATTACATACATATATTGCTATGTGATTAAATCTTTTTTAATAAATGTAAATATATTACTAGTTATTCAAATTTAAACAATAATTAAATTGTTAAGTGCTCTAATTATTGCAAATTTTATTTCTATATTAATAAAAAAATTCGTTTGAAAGGCAGCTTTTCGTACATACAGTAAAAAATAAAGACGTTGATTTTCAGCACATGACAATCACTTACATAAGCATACAGAGCAAAGGAAACACTACTAGATTGTGCTGATAAATGATGACCTTAAACTAGTCTTAAATAGGTTAGGAAAATAAAATATGACAAAACATTACTAGCGTAAACCAAGATGAGGCTTAGATCTTGATATAATTGTTTCATGAAATGCTTTCTTTTTTGTTAGCACTGTCTTCCAAAAATTTTGGACTGTTACATTAGACTACTATAATGCTTAAATTATATTGGGACAAAGTGATTTTTTTTTATAATTTATGTACATACATAAGAGTAATAATAATAAATTTAATAAGAAATATGTCCTCCTTTAGCAAAAATGACCTCAAGAATATGCTTAGGCATTGATTCTACTACTCTTGTGCATATATTTTTTACATTTTTATCATGGAACCACACTTTTGCAGCTTTCTTAATCAAGCACTCTTTTGTCATATAATCCATTTTGCTAAAATGTTGCATGAGAACCTGTCCCAAGTTTTCGATCAGATCTAAGTCTGGTGAATTTCTAGGCCAATCTAGGATAATAATTTTATTTTCCACCTTGAACCTTCTGCCAGGTTTTGAATTATGGTGTGGAGTCAATTATGTTTGATTGTCCCTGCAAAGGTTTTCAAAACTGGCACAATCTTATGCTTTAAAATTTCTGTATACTTTGATGAATTTATGATTCCATCAATAAGAACTAGACTTCCAGTGCTATCTGCAGTGAAAAACCCCAAAATATCTGTTTTTGAGGTATTTAATCACTTTGCTTGCTCTGTGATATGTGTAAGTATGAACATATAAATGGATCTAATCGTGGAAAATTACCTTTTTCCAGTTATTTATGGTTTAAGATTTGTATTTTTGGCCCACAGTAATTGTTTTTGCTTTATCTGATGTGTCAAAAGTTGTTTTTTAATTAACTTTCTCATCTTCTGATTAGCAGTGAAAAGTCTATGTTGCACATTTGAAGGATGAATATCAATACCAATAGACAAAGAATCACTTTTAAGGTATTTGCTAACTTTTATTGGATTAATAATGCTATTTCTAAATGGATCAGATTTTGGAGTTGTTTTCCTTTCATAATTGCGCCTTTCCTTTCTTGAAAAAATGATCCAGTTTCATTGTGTCTTCTCAGAATCTGAGAAATGCTTTATTTTCCAACATCAGTCACGGAAGAAATATTTCTTAAGAGTCATAGATATGTGACCGTCAATTGTGATAATTCTTGCTCTCTTTCTAGGCGTTATATCCATTTTTAGTATGCTAAAATGAATGAATGCAAAATTTATTTAAAAATTATACAAAATTTCAAGTGTGATAATTCTTGCTCTCTTTCTAGGCATTATATCCATTTTTAGTATGCTAAAATGAATGAATGCAAAATTTATTTAAAAATTATACAAAAGTAACTTCCTCTTCTCACAAGCTTAAAAATGGTTCAATAATACTAATTTATTTTCTAAACTAGTTAGTTCTCAGTAGTCGAAAGCACATATCCAGATGGCATTAAGGTAACTAAATTTGCTTTGAGATACCTGCTGGCAACAAACTTAAAAATTATATGAAAAAAACCACTTTGTCCAATTAATTTGCACACTATAGTATGTAGTTATCTATACACCTTAGTATTGCTACAGTGCAAAACATAGATCTTTAATTAGTTTTACAAGCAGCGTTAAGCATAGTCAGCATGAAGCAAAATATCATCTTAGGTATTATAAAATGGGAATGAAAAAATAATAATGTGTTATATTCATACAAAAATCATTGCATGTTTAACACAATTATTGGAATTTTTTTATTAAAAGACTGTGCATAAAACATGCCAAATCTAAAATAATTTGATGACATTTTAAAGATATTAAAATGGTGATAAACAAATGGAATGACTTCATACAAATATTCATGCAGTACAAATAATATTTGATTCACTGGCTTAATGAAAAGACAATATCTATTAATAATCACACATTTAATTTTAAAAAACTATATTTTTTAGTTAACTGTATATTCTTAATAACTTTAAAAGGTTGTAGATTGTAAATACATTATTTATTACATAGATTGTAAATACATTATTTTTAACAAAAGTAATTGTGCATTAAAGAAAATGTAGCACCAAATATTAGTGGGGCGGGGAATAATGCTTATAAAAAGAGTTGCACCACGAATTTTTCATATTTCTCTTTTTTTTTTCCTTTCAGTAATAATGCCACATAAATGCTTTTAAAAGCATTTTTTTATATGCAATTAGACTGATGCATTGATCTGAAAAATATATATAATCAAGTTATTTAAAATTCTTCCAAGTTTAATGCATATAGCTGTAAATCTGATTTCAGATATATGCAGAAATTGTACATGTTCAGATGATATTCAATCATACATGTTCAGATACGTTTCATACTTGATGCAATGATTTAAGTAATTTATCAGAAAATGAGATACAGTGTAAATGGCCATGTTTGCTATGGAGAAGGTATTTTCTATTTTAGAATTCAGCAAAATGGAATCTGTTACTATGATTCAATACAAATTTTGATTAAAATTCAGAAAATATACCTACATTGATACAAAAAAAAATTTTAAGCTATTTGTGTAAAAGTCATGGAGAATCTCACGTTTCCAGAAAACAAGTTGAATGTGTTCGTGACATCTTCACTCTAAAGAATGAACGAGAAGAAATCTTTAGATTTAATAGTGTAGAGTTTGCAAATTTTGCAAAAGTGGTTACAGTTTTTAAAAATCTGCATTATTCACCTCATGTAAATTATAGTTATAGTACCTGACTAAGATGTTTTATTTTGGATTTGGCAAGTACTAGAGTACTAAATAGCTTGTGCCAGGTGAACTGATGATACATGCAAAGAGCATCTGCAAAATTTCTGACATAAACTTAGACTTCATATACCTCTTCATAAAAAGTAATATACAATAACTTACATTGTGCTTTTTTTAAGAAATTGTTGAAACTGTTTACTTCTTTTGTAGCATTTAGAAATATTCAAAATTACAAATTTCCTTTCATGTGCGTACATATACTACCATATTACATTCACTAATTGTATAATTCATACTGTTTGATGTGAAACTGCATTATTTTATTAAAGCTATAAATGCAATTTTAAAAACAAATTTAATTAAAATTGAATGTTAATTTCTAATAAATATTATAAATATTAAGCAGCTATGTGAGTAAAATATAATAATTTCTGTGTAAAGTGTTTAATAAAGAAAGGGGAAAAGATATCTAAAAACAGTACTTTTAGAAGATTTCAAAAAAATACAATCACAGATTTAGCATTTGCAAATACAAGACTTACAGGACAGAACTGATGTCAAAACAAATACTTTATAAAAAGTAAATGATTGCATAGATTTGGTATATGCTTTGTATAAATTTTTCCTAATGGAATTGATCAACATAAATTGAATAAGATAATTATACTATAATGACACACAAAATAGTATATATAACTTTCTATCATGTTTGACAAAACATAGATGAAAGTTTTAATGAGTTACTCAAAAAGAAAGACCGGCATGCCTATGATTACTAGAAGCAACATATGATTTTAGAGAACAAATTCACACATTTTATTTACAAAAATTTTTGTTCTACACAAATTTTTAACAACACTGATATAAAATATTTATTTATTTTTAGATTATTATATACATTTATGGAAGTTTCTTTAAAGCATTATTTTAATGTGCACAGTGTTCTTGCATATCCTTCTCATAACATTTTAATAATATTCTGTTTGATGAGCATTTTATGAAAAATCTAGGAGAAATAGAATAAATGTTTTTGAAAAATAGTATGTACTAATATTTCTATTTCTGTTAAATCAGTGAAAATTTAAATCAGGTATTGCTGCTAAGTGCTAGGGTCAGAATTTCATCAAAATATTATTATTAACTAATGCATATTTTATAATAACTATCATTTCATTTTCATTAAAATATTCATATTTTTGTTTCACTAACTTAAGTGCAAAAACTGGTTTGCTTTCACCATTGTTATAGTATGTTTTTTGGGCTCAGGTAAATTATTAGAATTTTCATAAAGAAGCTTAAAGCCCATTATCATTAAATAGCAGTATAGTATAAAATTAGATTAACACGTTCTCTGCCAGACCGTTTTTTGAAGACTTCCCATTCAGGCCGCCTGGGGCGTATGCGCCTTACGCTTTACATTTGTATTATTTTGTTTCTGGTGTATGCCTTACGATAATTAAAATAGAGCAAAAATCATAATTATCAAGGAAAGGTTGTATAGTTTAACATGCATAACACAACAAACCAATAAATTAATTTTTCTAGGAATTAGTTTAACAAATACCTGGCTGAACATTACTATGCCAAGCAAGTTGCATCCTCATATGTAATTTTTTTTATCGTATGTATATCAGTTTTAAATATAACATTTTAGTTAAATTCAAGTTTGTATGCAATTACAAAGGGATGTTACGATGAACTTTATTAAAACATGGCAAACATAAGTATGGTTTATCCGCACAAATATCGGAGAATGTCGCAACTTTTACAGTACAGTTTCTTGCCAATTAGGAACCCAAATTTTTAACATTTCTTTTGTAACAAATTTTACAGCGCCTTCTTATCGAATTAAAGTGGCCTTCCCCGTCGTCAGAATCATCACTAGAAAAACTGTTGCTGTGTGATGCCATATATGCTTATAAAGAGTAATTATTGTAAAATTTGGAAAAGGTCTGAAGAAGAAAAGGCGAGAAAAATTGCAACCATTTTTAAATGCAAAATATCTGAATTTATAACACTGAAATAATATTTACATACCGTATTTCCTTTGTCTAACACACTGAACTATAAATCAATCCCAGCTTCAGTGAAGCAGTAAGTAGTGTATCAACGACACACGAATAAATGACTGATCAAAATACGAGGAATCTAGTTGAAACAAGTTATGGAGAAAAAAAATTGCCCATCATGCCGCATGGGGCGTATACACCCCAGGATTAAATGAGGGCATCAGCAGTAGTATTAAAATGCCCATAATTGACTGCATAATGAATTTTTAAAAAATTCTTCATTTTACAATGATAATACCAAATGGCTTGAACGGAAAGTTTAGCGTGGGGCACATACACCCCACGTGGCAGGGAATGTGTTAACATGTTTACTGACCATGAAAAGCCAATGACTAGAGGTAACGGAAGAGAAGCCTATCACTTGTAAAGAAATAGTTAACAAAGCAACTAAATTATTAATACAGTTTTCAAAAGTATATATGGAACAATAATCTCATTTAACAATCTCTTATTAACACAGCAAAGAAATAAATTTACATTAAAAAACTATACAGAAAAAATTTCAATTATTGTTTACATTGTATTTTATAATACAATATCGTATAAAAAATTTTGATATGCAAAACACAATCACATAAGTATTCTGATTTGTTTCATACATATTAAATGATTTAAAGATCATACAGTTCCTTGTTATATATATTAATTATCACAAACTGTATTGAAGAGTTCCTATCGTGTAGTCTAGGAAACAGTGTTACCTTTTTGTTCAGTGGAAAGTGACTGACTAGAACTACTTGAAACAAGAACTTTAGTAGATGTCTGTGGTGATTTGGAGCCTTCTTTTATTTGCATGTGATATTTATAAATGTTTTCTGTACTCTCAATCGTACCTAGAATAATTTAAAATAGTAGTTAATTATGAAGAATTACATAACAATCAAATATGTTTAAAAAAATTATACCAAGGAACAAAAGAAAAAAAAAGAAAAATCAGTTTAAATTATAATTGCTACACTTCCAAGAGTCAAATAAAATGTTACTAAACTTTCACAAATATGCTAAATAAACAAAGTACTTTCACAAAATATGCTAAGTTCAGCATTAGTTTCTTTTCAATTTACATAAATGTTGATTATGATAAATTTCTTCATAATATTGGTAAGATTAATATACTATTTAGGTTAGTTATCTTTCAGAAATCACTGGTACTTTTTTCAATTTTATTTGGATTTTAAATTTACACCCCCAAAAGAATTTTAAAAAGGTATTTGGTAATAGGTTTATCAGATATAGTTAAAATTAATAAAATTAGAAAACGAATAGAAATAATGTATCAAAGGAAAGAAATTATCATAAAACAGAGCATCATAGGAAAAGAAACTATTATCAAGCAGAGTATCGATGTTGTTGTCTTGTCCATATTACATGGAACAATGTTTGCCAAAGCCTACTCCAAAGAGAGTTTGGACTTCTATTTTCCACTCTCAATTTTGAGAGAGAGCATGCGGAGGTCTCCCACCCCTCTACCCTTCCACCAACGCACACGAGAAGACTTAGTAGTAGACTCCCTAGCCACTATACTGTCTGCATGACAAACAGAGTATCAATGGAGAGAAATTATCAATTTTCAACTGCTGTATAGTTAAATCAAAGATCTACTGTAATAATTTATTTCACATAATATTATTTGCTTTGAATGCAACAAAAGATGAATTTTATTTTTCATCTAAAAGAAATAGATACTAATTTGAGCACAAAATCACCTATGATATGGCCAGCATATGTATACAGATATAATCAAAACTATGATTTCAGAATACTTTTTATTTATCATAATGAGAAATAATGTTGAACACATTTCTTCACTGGTAAGATAAATAACATTCAATTTTTACTTTCTAATTAACTTTTTGATGGTCATCAACAAGCTCAGCTTGCATTCCAGTTATGCACCACACATGGGGGCAAATAAAAACACTTGTATTACAAATTTATGACTGGCAGATATTATGCATATTTGGGAAGAAAGAATTACTTAATCTCATAACCACCGAAGGGCTAAGATTTTTTATAGTTTATAGTAATTTTTATATAACATGAAATATAAGAAATAAGGTTTTTGTGACTGGCAATTAAATTTCACATTTTTCCAGGAAAAAATTGTATTTTATTTTTAAAAAGTTTCCTGTTAAATAATAACAGCTAAAATTCCCTAATTACTTAATGTTATGACATATCTTACACATGAAAACTTTATGTGCTTTCCAATTGATTTCTTTTAATATAAAAATGTTAAAACAAAACTGTAAGCAGAATTAAAGATTATTAATAACATGCACTTCAATTAAATTTCTTTTAAAAAATTCATATTAGGTAGCCATTTCTAGGTAGAAAATCAGTAGTATAAAACAATATGTCTATGTTTCTTTAGAAAAGTTTTCATTCCTTGTTAAGGAACATGAGTTAGAATTAAACGTCAGTGTAATTTACAGGTCTATAAAATGTAAATTATTTTAAAATTTCCCATAAAGTAAAACACATTAAAAATTTGTATTCTGTACTTTAACTCTGCTTGAGAATTTATCGATATGCTCATATGGGTAATATACAGAATTTGAATTTCTGTCGCGTGAAATTTTGAAAATAAAGTGTCATTTATCAAAACTTCAATTACTGCAATACTCCAGTTAAAAGAGCTAACTGAAGATCAAAACAATTCAAGCAAAAAAAAATCATTTTATAAATCACATTTACATAATGTAATTTCATTACAATATAGGATGTAAGAAATCTAAATTGTAATGAAATGTAAATTACTTAATTTGGATGGAGATGATCCTAAAAACCAAACTTTAAGTGACATCGAGATAATATCAACAAGAAACTGATGTAAATAAAACTGCCTTTGATGATAATGGCCCACGATCACTGAATACTGAAGTACAGAGATGCAATGGGTAATAAACTGTCCAAATACTTGACTTGATTATAAAGAAGACAGATGTGAAATTTATTTAAATCCTATGCAAAATAATACTGAAATTAATAAGCAACACATTAGAATTGCTGACTGTTTGTCTGCTGGATACTTGGCTAGATAACTGCATCTGGCTGAAAGTGAATATTCAATATCTATGTCAGATATGCACTGCCACTCTATTAAAATGTGTAAGTATTTAAAAAGAAGTATAAAGTGCTTCTGTGTTTAAAAAGAATTTGCTACATGGCCAAAAATTCACCACAATGAAAATTTATTTCTTCTTTGAAAAAAATAATATTTCACTGGCAATTTGGAAACCTTAGATTACGAATCAGTAACTCAAAAAAGTTTTTACCACGAAAAATTTGTAAAAATTAAATGATATAAAAAATAATATTTATCATAAAACCATATATATTATTGCCAACTCATTAACTTATACCTTTACTGCTGAATAAAATTAAATCTCAATTTAATTTTTGAAGCTCCAGATTTTGCTCCCACACTTCTATCTGGAGTATTAAATAGAAAAATATCAAGATATTTTTCTCTCTAGCAAAGATACTTTCTGTTAATTAAAAAAAAAAAAAAAGAATATTACTTTTTTATTAATTTAAAATAGACTTATAATAAATTAAAACTTTACTTTCTTTTTATTTCAAGAAAGAAAGCTGTAACATGACAACAAAAATTCACTATTACTATACAATTTTATTTTAGATGTATACAATAGTAGTAGAAATTTAGCAACTGATATAGTAAAGGATACATTAAGCATATTTTATTTATTACACTTACAACATAAAAACATTTGTTGCAAAATATTATTAAGAATTAGAGGTAAAATAACAGTTTTAATGATGTTTTCCATGCTGGATAAGTAAAAAATTTTTCATAATACTGAAGATAAATAAAAGATCTTATGTATCACAACTGGCAACAATGTATATCAGCTTCTGATCTTTATTTGTAACAGATGTTTTGTCCCTGATAGAAAACAATAAACTTCTCTAAAGTATTAAAAATTTCATATTTTTTTCATTGGTATTTTAAATACATAATTATTTATGCCCCAAATTTTATAAAAATGTTCTTACAAAAAGTTTTATTGTCAATTCAGTTCTCCAAAGCAAGGCCCAATAGGTTAAGATAACTGATACTCTATTGTGGCGACTCTGTAAACATGTGTTGTACTCGCCAACCGCACGTCGTTATCACTAACTGTAACCGAAGGTGGTTTCGGCGATACACAGTCACGTCTCGTCGCCGTGCGGTTGGTCGCACGCTTTCCTTCAACGTGATTGTCTGTCAACTGTACTAATTAAGTTTTACTATTGTGATGTGATTAAATGTTTTTGTTATCAAAAATTGGCTCTTATGGCATGTTATGAATTCATCCTTAAAAGCACTGGCAAATTCCAATACGCATAGTTTGTTGTTGCACACAGCCGCAACCACATGCAACGAATGGTGACTTCAGGATGGTGAGGCTTAAGCCAAATGAATCGTCGAAATTTATAGTACAGCAGAAATTTTGTGCTTAAACAAGACCTTGTAATAATGTGCGAAATGCAGCTGAACCAATATTTTTTTACTTATGTGTATTGGATTACTTATCGTGTCTATTGGATCGTGCATCAGTTTCATCATATTACAGCCACGTGGATTACCTTCATGTTTCCATTTGTGATCATCTTTCAGACATGCGGATTACCTTCATCTTCCATTAGTGATAGTGTTCCAACATCAAGCGAGTGGATAATTTCTGTACATCAAGGTGATATTTTCTACCTTTTATTCCGCACATGGATTCGTATGTATTCGTCAAGCGGGTGAGTTTTTTTTCTATATTCATTTGAACCCAGGTCCTAACATTAATTATTTTGTGTTTCTTCACGTGTACTGCAACAATATTCTTGAACTATATCGTTTTTTTTTTTTTTTTTTTTTTTTGTTATCTGTATTTATTCATATTTATTATGGCTACTAGCGATCCTCTAGCCACTGATGACAAACAAATGGCTCGCGTTGCTGTGAAACCTGCCCCATTTTGCCGTAGTGACCCCAACCTTTGGTTTTTTTCAATTAGATGCACAATTCAAGCTCGGGGGTATAACACGCGACGACACGAAATTTTATACTGCAATTTCCGCCCTCGACACTGAGGTTCTTCAGTCAGTACGCGAGATTGTTCTGAAACCCCCCTCGGATAATAAATACGAGGAATTGAAAAATAAATTAATTTCAGTTTATGAGGAGTCTGAAAACACCAAACTAAAGCAGTTATTACAAGATTTGCAACTTGGTGATATGCGCCCATCCCAGTTATTGTCAAAAATGCAGGAGCTTGCGGGTGACAATTTTAAGTCCAATGTTTTACAATCATTGTGGCTCAATCGTCTCCCGAACAATATCCAAGCTATTCTTGCCTCCAGTAACGAGAACCTACCCCAACTGGCCCAAATGGCAGACAAAATTCATGATGTTCTCCAACCACAAGCAATCAGTCAAGTTCAGCATCCCAGTGTTGATATTTCATCTCTTCAACAACAAATCCAGGAATTATCATTGCAGGTCGCAGCCTTACAGACACGATCTCAGTATCATCCGCGCGGTAGATCAAAGTCCCGGAACCGAAATAATAGGGAATACCAACGCGCTCATTCTGGTACTCAATCAGACATTTGTTTCTATCACAGCCGATTCGGTGATAAAGCGCGCAAGTGTACACCTCCATGCAAATTTCAGAAGACCTCTTTAAACTGAAGGGGCCGTCACTCGAAGCCATGAGTGACAACGGCCCGTGCATTAGTCGATTGTTCGTAACAGATAAACCATCAGGCAGACGTTTTCTTGTTGATACAGGTGCTGACATTTCGGTTGTACCTCCCTCTTTTGCCGAATCCAAACGGCCGCCTGGAAAATTTAACTTATTTGCAGCTAACGGGTCAAAAATTGCAACATATGGAGAAATATTAATGTCTTTGGATCTAGGATTGCGTCGCAAATTTCAATGGCCATTTGTCATCGCTGCGGTTTCGCACCCCAATAATTGGTGCAGACTTTCTGCAAAAATTTTCTCTGTTGGTCGACATTAAAAATCGACGCTTACTCGACTCCATCACACAATTGTCCGCGGTAGGTAGCATTGGAAATGCCACTAATTTTGGAATTAAATTAATTTCCGGTAATTCTCCTTTCCACAAACTACTTGAGCAATACCCTAACGTCATCCGCTCAGTAACTGGCAAACCGACTGCTGACCACGGTATTGTACACGTCATAGAGACTACTGGACCACCAATCTTTGCCAAAGCACGGCGGTTGCCTCCAGAGAAATTAAAGGCTGCAAAAGAAGAATTTAAATACATGCTTGAGCAAGGAATCTGTCGGCCATCTAAAAGTTCATGGGCCAGTCCACTCCACATGGTCCCTAAGAAAAACGGCGACTGGCGTCCTTGTGGGGATTATCGACGTCTTAATTCAGTTACTTTGCCTGATAGATATCCGGTTCCTCATATTCAGGACTGCATGCAAGTCTTGGAAGGCAAAAATATTTTTTCTACGTTAGATTTGACTCGTGCTTACCATCAGATCCCTGTCAATCCACCTGATATACCAAAAACTGCTGTAATAACACCTTTTGGATTATTCGAATTTCCTGTCATGACTTTCGGGTTATGTAACGCTGCGCAAACGTTTCAGCGCTTCATTAATGAAGTCCTTCGAGATTTAGATTTTTGTGTCCCATATTTCGATGACATTCTGGTAGCCTCGACAACTGAAAACCAGCACCTTGAACACCTTTGCATAGTCCTTGGCCGATTTCAGTCTTATGGTGTAGTCATTAATCCATCAAAATGTGTTTTCGGGAAATCTAAAGTGTCATTTCTTGGTCACGAAGTTTCTTCGGAGGGCGTTCGCCCACTTAGTGACAGAGTCACTGCAATTCAAAATTTCCCAGAGCCAAAAACTGTTCAGGAGCTGCGTCGTTTTCTGGCCATGTTAAATTTTTATCGTCGCTTTCTTCCTCATGCCGCTGAAAAGCAGGCACCTTTGCACACATATTTGGTTGGGAGTAAAAAGAAAGATACGCGGCCAATTATTTGGTCTGATGATGCCCGTACAGCCTTTGTACAATGTAAGAATGACTTAGCGTCGGCAACAGCTCTTAGCTATCCTTCTAAGCACCCTTTAGCATTAATGGTTGACGCGTCTAATACGGCCATGGGTGCGGTTTTGCAGCAACTGGTAGACGGAGCATGGAAGCCTCTGGCTTTCTTCTCGAAAAAATTTTTCTGCAGCGCAATCAAAATACAGCACGTACGACCGCGAACTTCTTAGTGCGTATGAGGCTGTTAAACATTTTCGTCATATGGTAGAAGGTCGTGTGTTTTCTATCTATACCGACCACAAGCCGCTAATTTTCGCTTTTCGACAAAAGCCTGACAAGGCTTCTCCCAGGCAAATGCGTCATCTTGATTACATAGCGCAGTTTACAACCGATTTTAGGCATGTAGAAGGCCCTCAAAATACAGTTGCTGATGCTCTGTCCAGAATTGAAGAGGTTCAGTTGCCATCAACAACAGATTTCTCCGCCATTGCTGAATGCCAGAAACAGGACCCAGAATTGCAACATCTTTTGTCTGACAAGTCTTCTCATGGACTTAATTTAGTACCTATGCAGTTAGAACCAGATCTTTCACTGTACTGCGATGTGCAAGGTAATGTGGTGCGGCCATACATTCCACTGAAATTCCGGCATGGTATTTTTAGCGGCCTCCATAATTTATCCCATCCTGGCATCCGTGCTTCTCGCACGTTAATTCAACAGCGTTTTGTATGGCCTGGTATGCAGAAGGACATCGCTGCATGGGCGAGGTCATGTACAGACTGTCAAAAATCAAAAATTCACAGGCACACTCGAACTCCATGTCAACGCTTTGAGTTACCATCTGCTCGCTTTAGCCACGTACATATCGATTTGGTTGGACCCTTACCCCCATCACTAGGTTACATATCATTCTTACTTACGTGTGTCGACAGATACACACGTTGGCCAGAGGCTATCCCTATTGTAGATATGTCAGCCGACACTGTGGCAAAAACCTTTTTTTCTGTATGGATTTCACGGTTTGGGGTACCCGAGTACGTTACCACGGACCAAGGACGGCAGTTCGAATCTCAATTATTTACTGCATTAACAAAATTCTTGGGAACTAAAAAGATCCGTACATCACCGTACCACCCGAATTCCAATGGACTTTGTCGAGAGGTTCCATCGCTCTCTTAAACAGGCCATTAGATGCCATACTGCTATTCACTGGGTTGATGTCCTTCCTACTGTGTTGTTAGGACTCAGAACGGCTATCAAAGAGGACCTGGGTTCTTCAAGTGCTGAAATGGTTTATGGTACCAATTTACGTTTACCGGGAGATTTTATAAATCCCGCAAAAAAACTCACCCAATGTCCAGCCCCATGCATTCCTCAAACAATTGCGTGAAACCATGGCTGCATTATACCCTAAGCCCACAAGCATACATTCTTCAAGACCTGTGTTTGTTCCTAAAGAACTCGCTACATCCTCACATGTGTTCTTACGGTGTGTGATGCATCAAAAAAGTCCTTGGAGCCTACCTATACAGGCCCACACCTAGTTCTAAGTCGCACATCCAAGAACTATCGGATACTAATCGGCGACAAAGAGACAGTGGTGAGCCTTGATCGTCTCAAACCAGCCTTTATCTTAGCACCACAAACTGTCGAGACTGGTACATCAGTCCCACCTCCTTCGAAGGCACCTTCATCTATTGGGTCTACACCAACATCTGCTACTACGTCAGTTCCTGTGCCTGGATCCCAGAAAACAAGTGCTCCTCAGTATACACGTTCCGGACGTAGAGTCCGATTTAACCCTCGGTACCTTTAATTCGTTGCCACTGGAGGGGGAGTACTGTGGCGACTCTGTAAACATGTGTTGTACTCGCCAACCGCGTGCCGTTATCACTAACTGTAACCGAAGGTGGTTTCGGTGACACACAGTCAGGTCTCGTCATCAGTGCGGTTGGTCGCTCGCTTTCCTTCAACATGATTGTCTGTCGACTGTAGTAATTAAGTTTTAATATTGTGATGTGAATAAATGTTTTTGTTATCAAAAATTGGCTCTTATGGCATGTTATGAATTCATCCTTAAAAGCACCGGCAAATTCCAATATGCATAGTTTGTTGTTGCACACAGCCGCAACCACGTGCAACATCTATTGTAAGTAATGCTAAAATAAGTGAATTTTGAAATATATTCAAGAATTTTCATTTGTAATGAATCAGAAAATTTATGACTTGGTCTGGGGATAAGAGGATTACTAACTATATATTTCAATACCTGAGGATAGATTAAAACTTCTGCCTTTGATTCCAGTTTCTTTTGATGTTGGATACCACCAAGATACAAGCGAACCAAGTACAGGGACCTGCCTTAAAACACCCTAAAATACAATGGCGTAATTACTTTCATACAGTACAATATACGGTACAAAGTCCGAAATCCGGACTCTTCTGGACTTCGGTGATTCCGGATTTGAGATTTTTCTGGATAATAGATCATCAGTTTAAATCTAGTAAGATGGCATGTAGAAATCATAAAATTAAAAATATGAAATCGGGATTTATGAAATAATGAAGTATTTATGATCTAAAGGGCATCACAATTTACAAAAAAAAGCTTAATATTTATTTGTTTACCTTATAAACATTTCTTTCAATGTAAGTTATTTTAAGTTGCTTCGTTTTTTGTGCAATACTTTCTCTTTAATTCTGTAGATAGACATAATCTCTTGTTTAGTTACATTGTTGAAGTCCTGTAACTGTTGCTTCGAAAATTCCGACTAATTTGTCAATCGAAATTTTCTCGTTTTCAGTAACTTCTCTGTCACTTTCTTCACTATCTGTACAATATTTTCTGGATCTAGAACCACACTACAGATTTCGCCATTCATGATATAAAAACTTCTTTTACATCATCTTCATTTTTATTACTGATTCTTCTTTATTTCTTTACAAAATCCGTTAGTTGGAAAATTTCACCTTTGTTTTACGATATCCAAAAACCTTAAAAATTAGTGGCTATCATCATCAAATTTAGCTATCTTTCACTATACATATTTGGCTATGCATCATGAGCTTGGCGACTAACAACAAGTTGTTTCGTTAAATTTTATCTTGCTTCTATCGTGCACTGAGACAATTAAGACTGAATTGCATTAGTTATTTATTAAATTTATGTCTATTTCTTGGACATGCTTAAGGCTTATCAGAGTCTGAATAAATAAATTCCCACCGTATAATTAAGCCTTACTGAGGTCCAGCACTAGATATCTTACTGCCTGATGCAGTCTGGGTCCTAAATTCTGTGATTCGATGCAGCCATATGAGCCTGGTGCTGGTTCTGGGTTTATGTGAATAACAAATCAGTTATTCTTAATTCAAATAGCCCTAAGCATAATCTTTGGGTCTATGAGTATCATCAACAAAATCTAGTTTTAGCATATGGAAAGAAATTTTTGGTCAATTTTTCCTCGTCAACATTTTTAGCGCATTTAACTGAAATCTGTAATCATCGCCAAAGCGTAATATCAACATAAAAGGTTACCACACCCCTTTATTATTCAATTACTAATATAAAAATTGTTTAGGCATCACTACATGAGTCATTACTCAATTTGTCATATTTTGATAAACATGCGGTGATGAAAGGAAAATAAAATAAATAATGATTTGCCAGGTTTGCGTCAGATCATCGATGTCTCTATGTGGAATGTTTCGGTTTGAGATGTTTGCCAAATGGATACGCAGCAACGGAGACAAATTACTGATCATACAAATTTATACTGAAATGATTGTTTTTTCAATAACAAATTATTTTATTTATTGTCAAAGTGAAACTAAGAATCGGGACTCTCCAGATGTTTTATTATACACGGAGGGGAGGAATCAAATGTGCATGTGTAAAGCCTACAAGAAAACGATTGGTGGTTTTGAGGTGCAGATTTTAGATCATTCCGGATAATAGACGTCCGGATTTCAGACTTTGTACTGTATTTGAAACGAACAGATACACAACAAGTGACATTCATTAGTTAGATATTTCAAATAAATCAATAATTTTGATAGAAGAAAAATCTTTTAAAAACAAGTATTTTTCACAGAAGTATACAGACAAACATCATGCATAAAATCTGAGGCCAAAAACAAGTCAGCCTTCACCCCATTTATCAGCCCATATCAGTCCTTTGTTACAATGGAATGCTATGCACATTGATAATACTCAACAATATTTTTAATATTTTTAAAATTTTAAATGATAAGTAAATGGTTTGTTGCTCTGCTACTTGATGTTCAGAAATAACTGATTCTCAAGGCATGGTCATTTTTGTACCAAAAATATTACAGTACAAAAATTCGGAATGGATTTCAGCAATTACAGATTTTAGAGCATTAATCTAAAAAATTAAATCTAGAAAGATGACATGTAGATATGGCAACATCGGAGTTCATTTATTGTTTAGATCAGACAGAAAAATGATAACCCCCCCACAACCACTCAAAAGCCAAAAGTCTGATCCTGACCAATAACAATATGTTAATCTATTCATTGTAATTGGACACCATGCAGCTCCCTAGCCAGCAGATGTTTGAAAGTGTCTTGCTAGGAATCTCAGAAAAATTGCATTTACAGTACATCTATTTTCTTTGAGTATTATAGTCCCTATTCCTAAACCTTGTAAACAGATAAAGTTTTTTTTTTTTTTTTTTTTTTTTTTTGTTACTTTAATTTTTTATTTATATATTTATTTACTTATTGGATGTTAGTCCTGAGGTCCAGATTTCAGACTTTATATTGCATTTACATTTTATGTTGGAAATAAGATAATACTGAATATAAAGAATGTGATATTATTTAAATATTTCTTAACTTTTCATGAATACTATACACAAAATAATATTTTATAACATTTTGGAATTATGACTATTGATTATGATTATTTGAAGTATTTTTGAAAATGAAAACTGCAGTGATTTTATTTAAGTAATTTTAAATTACTTAAGATTAATTAAAAATTATTTTTATAGGCAAGTAAAATCAAATAAGCTTTATGTACTATGTTAATAACTAGTCATAATTATAAAATATTCATTAAATATGTCTTCAGACTGAAAGATTAGTCTTTTAATTCTTTTGTTATTTTTTAAGCTAAAAAAACAAAATTTTTAAAAAATTAACAATTTACTTAAATAAATTTCAAAATTATACATAAGGGCTTTTTTAATTTCATTTTTATATTTCTCTAAGAAAACTACTAAATTGTATGCAAAAAATAACATTTCTTTGGAAAAATAAATATCATGCAATTTATGTTTATGATACAAGTGCAATATATTTATCTGAGGATTTAAATGCACAAAAAATATCTAAGGATCAGATATATACATTGATGTAAAGCTACATTTCAAGAAAATAAGTCACATATTTAACAAATTAGTTCTATTAAAGGAGAATAATTTTTACATTTATTAGTGAAGTATAATCAAGTATTTGATACTATTGACGAAGGAATCCTGTAATAGAAATATTCTTAATCTATGATAGGAATGCTTTGATTTTGTTAATATTTTAAATTATTTTCACCAAATTTTAATTCATTCAGTTTTATTCTGTATTGTTTGTATTGAGTACTTTTTGTTTTGGATTTGATATGAATCCTGACGTAAAACGCAGAAAAGTTTTGTTTACTAAATTCCATGTTATTGGAAATTTTTATTCCTGCTTATGAACTGCAAAAGTAAAGTACACTAGCAATTTTTAGATAAGTAAGCTTGTAATGCATATTATGAACATCACTAATTGCATAGAAGCTGAAGTAAATTAAAAAAATTTCTTTGCATTTCTAGAAGCCTTAAATATTAATGAAATAATATATATATTAAAACTAAAATGTACTGTTACTGAAAAATAATAAATAAATAAAATAAAAAAGTTAAACGAATTAAAAAATAGTTGGTAGTTTAAAAATACAGAACAACTGAAAAGAAAGGTTCGCAATATTTACACAAAATTTGCTATGCTTATATACCGCTGGCTGCCATGTGAGATTGTATATTTTTAAAATATGCCCAAATTCGGGGAGAAAGTAGGTAATATATAAAATTTTAGAATTGATTACTTCATTTTTAATTTCATCAGGGTCACTGCTGGATAATTTATTAGAAATCTCGTTTGTTTTAAAATGCACTATGTGCAGTTATATTTTATGCATAATCCATAAAATATTATTTTAAATTAAAAAAATTTTAATTCATATCTCTTTTTATAGAAGAAGTTATAAAAATAAGCTTTTTCTCTTTATATATACACACATTAGATAAAGAAAATGGAAATATTTAATTGATTCAATCATGCGCTTCTGCTGGAAAGGACTGAATTTAAAAGCAATTATTATAGTAAATGTTTAGGACATTAATACCGTCTTATGTTAATTGGTAGTGAAAATATAGAGCTGGAAACATCCCAAAGTCTTAGCACATGTATGTACAGTCACATAAAAGCGAAACGAAAATATATATATATATGTACAGGGAGCATGCTTTAAATTCGTATTATATAATTTTCAAAATATTTTTTGAGGGGAAAATTTAAATAACTAAGACCATAAATAAAACATTATGTTTAATGCATATAATAATAGAAATGAATTATAAAACACAAATATAAATCAAATTGGAACAAGAAGCTAAGAAAGTTGCAGACAGAGTGAAAAAACTATATGGGATTTGAACTCACGACTCCAAAAGTTAAACCATGCTACCGTCAGCTTTACCACTAAGCTATCATCACACGAGTACGGTATGCAATTTTGGCTTATATACATCACCAAGTAAATGAATTCTTAAAACTAAGTTTTTTGGTCCTGTTTCAGTGTGCTATCGTCTAAAAAATTCACTACAGTTTGTTCTTCAGCTTCTAGCACATTTCTTACAAAAAATATTATCTTTTAAAGTGGTGTTCCGATTGAAGTTAAACAGGGTGCTAAAAATATATTCCATGTGCTTACAAATATATGTTAGACAAAAAGGTATATTTATAAATAGAGAAATACAAATTTAACATACTCTTTAATGCAGTGGAATATTTAAAAGGCTATCAAATTTAGTTTATAATTAACGTTTTTAGTTTTTACCTGTTTCAAAAGAAAAAATAACAGCTCTTTTAATGCCACAACTGATTTGCTACAGCAGTTTGATATAGTCAGACATTCATTGTCAGGACAAATTTTGCTATTTCATGGACTTGAAATTATATTTTTTGCACCTGATTTTCTTGAACTGAATTTCTTGACGACTTGATTTTCCATGCGAACTAGTACTGTAGTTGCAGTTATCTTATTTTTCTAATCTTTTTTTTTAACTAAATTCAGCTGGTTGCTGTCTTTTTCAGTACGCAGATTTCTCGCTATAATGTTAATTCAAAAATAAGTATTTTATTTTTTAGCAAAAAATTCTTTCCCTAAGCCAGCATTCATCACTACTTTTGCTGCCATTAATTTTTGGTGACAACACCTGATTGCTGCTTTTTTACCACATAACCCCAACGCATCTGCAGACATACGGATAGAAGTTGAACATTGTTGAACTCCATCTGTCCGTCATCCGTCACAGCACAACGGATTGCCAATGTCAATCAAAATGAATTCGCTCGCTAATTGGAGAAATGCATAGACACTGCAATGCATATGCAGCAGTGGAAATGGGCCTTTAGAGTTCATCAATAACTCCTGGTTCTTGGAGCCATTGAGAGACTACTAATATACATAACATGTGGTAAAAATTCAATTACACCCAAAATAAACCTTAAATTATCCCCCTAAAAGCTACAAACAAATAAATAACTAAACAAACCAATATATTATATGTAATAATGCAAGCAAATGAATTTAAATATTTACAGAAATTTATAACAATAGCTACATGCAGAAATAGCTTGAATTTAACACTATACATACTTTCCTTACATTTCTGATTTAAAACCTCAATGAATTTAGAACATCTGAGCATACCTCTTGGAGAATTTTTTCTTGGTTTTCTTGTATTAATTCTTTGTTGGCTTCTTCTATCCCATGCTTGATCATTTCTGACATTGTCTCCAAGAACTGAAATGTAATGCATATTTTGTTTATCACTCAAAAAGATTACATTATAAAATATATAGATATAGTGTTTAAAATATTTCTGTCCTGATCATTCTAATTTCTATTCTGAAAATATCAGATTAAATAGTGTGTAAAACAGGCCCAAGGAAAATTACTTCAAAGTAAGAAATTTTTTTTTAATGACATAAGCTTAATTACCCTAAAGCAGATAAAGAAGCTAACTTAATACTTAGTTACTTAGTAGATAGTACTTGATAAAATGCAGTAAAAATAAAGGGAAACATCAGCTAAACTTTGTACCTTTCTTCTTCAAGCTATTTCCCAATCTAAAAAAATTAAATAACTTTTAAATTAGCATGACTTGTGATAATACAAATGCGAGTTTAGCTTTTCATGTATAACTGAGAGATACAAATAAGTTTTCCTGTGAAATTTAAGTACCAGATAAAATCCATAAATAAAAGACCTAGAAAATTTTTAAACATTTTTAGCACATAAATATTACTAAAATCTTGACATTTAATACTTTATTAAATATCAAGCATTCATTTTTTTAATTATTTTTAAAGAAGAGATGAATACTATTTGCTAGTATTTTCAATTTTTACAGTTTTCCTCTCTTTTTCATAATATTGACAATATATTAAACTCATTTATTATAGTTGCATTTTTCCATAGAGGTTTCAACCTCTCCTTTTCTCTTCCAGAGGCTATTTTTTATTGATCTGCCCATTGTTCAAATTAGTCTTATTTAACATAAAAACAAATTTAAAACAGTCTTATTAATTTCACATAGATGCAAAAAAAAATAATTCATAATTCTTATTATTATAACAAATTTTGTAACAAATAGATGAATTTTTAAAAACTGCTGAAAAAAAAAAAAAAGCAACCAAAATGATCATTATAGTACTGTGTGCATAAATTGGCATGTACACTGCTCAAAAAAAGAAAAAAATTGGGACAATTCTACATGACCCATACTGCTGGACCGATCCACGAAATTCAACTTGCAGTTTTCATGTTTCGATAGTGCGACTTGGAATATGTATTAGATTTATATATAGCATTGTACTAATACAGGTATTTCGAGACAAAATTTGACTTTTTCTGAAATGACAAAACGACACGCCAATTTTTTTCCATATTTCAATTCTATACCAAACATCCAAATTTTGTAAAAATCGCAAAAGTAGTTTTTAAAAAATTAGCTCCCAAAATTTTAGCTCCTCGTTAATTTAGTATATATTTATTAAGCTCTCATTTTTTTTATTAAACTTATTTGGTTCTTCTTTTCACACTTCGAAATTTGCGTTCATTCCAAATAAAATTCGCCCATATTTTATGATTTATTTTTAAAATTTGTATTTTAAAATAATTTTTAAACCTATAAAATTTTTATCATCATCTTAAAGTAGATGTATTTCTAAGTGTACCTGCAAGAAACAAGAGCCTTTTATTCAAAATTTCTTAAAATATACGTGAAATTACACATTAGCGTGTTCTGAAATTTCACATATTTGTTATAAGCGATAATAACACCAAATGTGGTTTAAGCACTTTGTCAAAATTATTTGAAATAATGAACGATGACTTTCTTTCCACTTGTTTACAATGAAAAAAAAGAAAGGAAAATAGGTTGCTTTAAATTAAGAAATTCGCCAAGTGAATTATTCTTGGTACAAACTGAAAAAAAATGTGCCAAGGTAAATTTTTGAATATCTCAGTAAATTTCGCACCAAATTTTACAAAATTTAATATTTAGGCAAGTCGTAAAATTGAATTATGAAAAAAAAATTGGCATGTCATTTCAGAAAAAGTCCAATTTTGTGTCTCAATACCTATGTTAGAATAGTGCTATATATAAATCTAATATATATCCGAAGTCACGCTTTTGAGACTTGAAAAACGCAATTTGAATTTCGTCAATTGGCCCAGTAGAACGAGTACACAGAACTGTTCCCCCCTTTTTTTTTTCTTGCAGTGTACATTGCAAGAATAAGTAAATGTTATTTTACCTCTAGTAAATTTATGTCTACATTTAAGTGCATCTCTGAAATTTCAAATTGAAAAATATTACACATACAAAATTATACCATATTAACCAAATTTCTTTTAAGAAAATTAGCAAAACACTTTTCAGATCTGATACATATTTTGATACTACTTACACATCATCACAACCACCTTAGCAGAAGTCTCTAAATTTTTTTTTTTCCAAACTTTGGCAAACATGCGCATAACAATTCTTTAGGTAGCCATATCCATTGTAAGTTGCAATCCAAAAATTTACTGAATCACCTTTTTCTTCCCTAAAAACTGTGATAGTTGCATTAATACCTAAGAACCACATTTTTAATAAATTTGTACGGATTTTTTTAACTAATTAGTTATTTTATATTAATTAGCTTTATTGTATTTCTCCTTTCTCCTTTTCCATTTTCCTGCCAAGATGCAAATTTTAGTTTGTGCGTATTCAAATGAAGTATAAAGACATAGTATTTACAGGAAGGTTTTTTAGACTGTTGAATCGCAGCATGTTCCACCAGCTGAAGACCATGTTTAGTTAAATCTCTTAGATAGCAGTCTGTCTATGGCACTGCATTAGTCTTGTCATGCTGGTATTAGGTTTGAGCCAATTTGTGCACTATGTATTCTGCACAGCCTTTGGCTAACTTACTACTTAACTTTGTTCAATTCAAATTCATTTAAGTTACACCTTAAATGCTGGCTGGTTTTGAAAGCAAAAGAATTGCCTTCTGTTAAATTATTGAGTTTAATAAAAAGGTCTTTTACACCCTTCTTGACTTTCTCAATGAACATAGCGATAATTCGCTTAGGTTCAGAATGGGTCTCAAATTAATTTATGCTCCAAAGAAGATGAGACTATAATGCTCAAAGAAGGTGTGACTATAAATTCATTTGAAATTCATAATATTCTTGGATACAGATTAGAAATTTAGAAATATATATAATAGCCAAAGTACATTATTGCTGCATGTCAAATATACAGCATGTAATTTAAATGCAACATATTTAAGAGGTACCATACTATTTGACCATAAATTATATATTTAATTAAATTCAAAATTGTGAATTAAAAATGGTAATTCCATTGTGTTTAAACACATTAATAACACTCTGAGAATTATAATTTATATGAAGTATCGATATGAATATCTGAAAGATATATCTATACACCCTAATACATTAACAAATTTTAAGGTTGTGCCATCATATCCAGAACATTATCTCCATATTCTTGGATGTCCAACTTCAGGAAACTTATAATTTTTCATGCTACTTTTTTTATCTTATTAAAATACTGCAATTCTTTGTTTGAAAGTATGACTGAGTTTTGGCATATGCAAAAAGGTGACAAAAACTCTTGCTGACCTACTTTTCAAAAGCTAAAACCAATTTTATTAACGTAGCTAAAAAGATAGTTCTTCAATATTGTAAAACTGCAGGACTGTTTTTGAGTGCATTTCCCTCCCCCCCTTTTTTTTAAAAAAAATTGCTAAAATTCTCTCAGTGCAAAGGAAAATTCACAAGTGTTAAACTCTGCACTATCATAAAGCTTGTATTTATGAAAAAGAAAAATCCGTAAAATTATATAATTCTGATGCTGACTGATTAATGTCTTATCAAAAGTAACAATGAAGAAGATGTGTGCTTTCAGCAACAGAAAATGAAATCAGACTGTCTGTCCCCTAAACTTTTAAATCAAGTTCATGACCTGATTTTGGCATGTCACTATTCTTGGAAAAAATTACTGTTCAAATATTATAGATATATAAAGAACATAATGAGTTTACAACTCCTGAGCAATTAGATATGTACACTGTGGGGGAGGAAAGTGACAGTTCTATATCTCCTGTTCTACTGGGCCGATTGATGAAATTCAAATTGCATTTTTCGAGTCTCTAAAGCGCAACTTGGGATATGTATTTGAATTTATATATAGCATTGTTCTAATATAAGTATTTTGACGCAAAATCGGACTTTTTCTGGAATGACATGCCAATTTTTTTCCATTTTCGATTCTAAGACTCAAACAATGCAAAATTCCCAAGTTTTGTAAAAACTAACACGAGTAATTTTGAAAAAAAAATTGCTCTCAAAATTTTAGCTCCTTAATGTTAATTCAATTTGGCATGTATTTATTAATATTGCCTTTTTTATGAAACTTATTTGATTTCTTTTTACACAGTTCAAAATTTAGGTTCATTCCAAATAAAATTCACCCATTTTTTATGATTTATTTTTAAAATTTGTATTTAAGTAGTTTTCATAAATTTTTTGAAAACAATTTAAATCTATAACCTATAAAATTTTTACTATCATTTTAAAGTAGATATATTATTAACAAATTCAACGATTTGAAAGCAAGCAATGGCAATAGTGTATGAAATAAAATATTTTTATCTTCTACCTGTGAGACTATCTATCAGAAATTTTAAAGACATGCTGTTTTTAATGATTCTGCCACTGAATTGAATTTTATGTGTGAATTTTGCTTAAGTGTGAAGAACATGATATTAAATGAATAAAGTTAAACAAAATTTTAATAATAAAAAGATAAAAGTTTTGGCAGCCATCTTACTAAGAAAACTGAAAATTGATGTTATGAACTAAAAAACTGAGAAAATAGAAAAATTTATACTGACACTTAACATTCCATCAGGAATTCTAAACATATGTTGCTATGCTGCTTGAAAAATTCTTATAATTTTGCTGTTGAATGTATATGGCGTAAGTGCGAGGAAAATAAAACTAAAAAACTGATGTTTAATAATAAAACTAAAAAGACAAAAAAAAAAAAAAAAAAGGTTAGCAAGAGTGAGTGCAACAGCAGAATGTTTTGCTGCAAGCTCAGCAAGAGCATAAAAAACTTAACAAACCCTTCAGGGTGATTGTTACAATCTGAAAGATAAAATATTTTGTTGAACCACTACACTTGGAAGATTTAAACAATTAAGGTAAAATATAGTCATAACTTGTTGAATTAGAAGCAATAATACAATGGGGTTTAAAGAACATGAAATTAAAATCAGAAACCATCAGTCCTATTCACTAGATACTACTTCTCCAGATTATTTCCAGTTTTACACCTTTTAAAACTGTTTCAAAAGGAAAAACAATATTTCAATAACTTCAAAATTAGTACTCTTTTTAACAGGTATGTCAGGTATTTTTCCTTGAGTGGAAACCATGAAAAACTCAATGATACCCTTGTCAGATATTTAACTATAGATTTTTCATTTGCAAATTAAATAAGGTAACAACTGTGTACACAAAAGAAATGGTCTAATTCATTGCAAACAAAAATAAAAGAAAGTAACATCCAGTGAGGCAATGTACTAGATTTGGGATAAACTTATTGCAAGTTTCATGACTCTACATTATTCTTAAGTCAAGCACCTTCTCTATATGAAGCATATCATATATGTCTTTTAGCACCTTCTTCTGTATGAAACCATCACTCTTTTAAAAAATATATTTAATAATGATATTAGGTGATGGATAAAAAAATGGCTGTATTTATTAATTCTCATTCAGCAGCCAGAATGTCTACTAATACTACTTTTGAATAAGATGGCTAATAATACTTGATTCTAAAAAGGATCCATTTCATTTTTAAATGATAACTGACTTTCTAATCTAATTTTTACATTCTTACTTTTATATACAATTTTTATAAGCAAAATCACATTACAGTGCTCATTATCTAAAACTGCATAACAGAGTATTGTCTTTCATAGCACAAATAATCTCTTTTTCAAATACAACAAATTCAGAAATTCGTGGCTTTTAACTATTAAATACTAACTGTAACATTAAGGAATTATAATGAACAAATTTTGCTCACTTTAGATGATTCTTCTAATTCCTGCCCTGCTGAAACCACAAGGCTTATTAATTCGTCCATGTCTAAATTATCATCAACCATACCAAATCTTACACACAGCATGCCATCATCAGCTTCACCTACAGTTAATAGAAATTAAGCATAAATCCTAAAAAAATTTGAATTATATAATGATTATTAAAAAATCAAATTATAATAGAAATTCTGACTTTAATTTATTAAACATAAATATTTCTGAAAAATTTCATTCAATTCATGCAACTTCTAGAATAAGCTGTATGCATAAAAAAATCATTAGATTTTTTTTATTTAATAAATATCCAATTTAAAAATCTGTGATGCATTTGGAGGTGAAGAAAAAGTAAGAGATCATATTTGGAGTTATTTTTATCAAAACAACATTGTATAAATATTTATTTTTTTTCTCTTCATAATCATTAAAAGAAAAATTTTATTTGATTTAGACTACTTTGGAATAATTCAGACAGAACTCTTTAACATGTAGTGTTCAAATTTTATATTCAATTTCTTTTAAACAAGTTTCAAACAAAAATCAAATTTCATACTAAAAATTAATATCAATTTATTACTTTAAATTAACTTCTGTAATACAAAATTTCAAATTTTATATTTTAGAATGTTCAAAAATGCAAAAATTACAAAAAATTACACATTATGTATTCAAAACAACACATTCCTAAAATTCCAATATTTATCCTTTATATGAAATTACAAATTAAAAATCAACTTTATATATAAAAATGTATTCTTTTGTTTCATAAAATAAACAGTAAATAATACAAAATTTATACCTGACAAATACATGTTTCTAATTATAATTTTCTTTTAATAAAACAATTTCTCAATAAAGTTCTAATTTATGGGATGCATTAAAAATTATTGTTATTTCCCCTTTTATAAGACACACCCACACTCTGGAACCCAAAAATAAATAAAAAAGAAGAAGAAAAGGGGAAAAGAATGATTTGATTGATGGACTGGCTTTTTATTAGCCTGCAGGAATATAATGTAATAGGAGAAAAGTATCACAAAGTTATTAAAGTATACAACTCATCTTCACTGCCAGAACTCCCATCCATTAACTGGACCTCATCTATGTACTCCCTAAAAGTACACAATAGTCTAAGGTGCAGACTCCTCAAATGCATTGTATCAGTTCATCTTTATTGCAGGAAGTCTTATCCTAAAATGATTTTTTTTGTAGTCCCTTGTTCTCAGGTTAAAGGTGTGTTAGGGAAAGAACCGCTTTGTTAGGAACTCAAAACGCTATCATTTGAAATCTTCACCCCACTTTTTACTTCCTTGTACGAAGTAAAAAGGAAGTATTGTAATCGCGAAAAGTTTCAGGCAGCATATTTCAACGAAAATATCCATTTTGACCACTATCAAATGGAATTTAACGATGTTTTTGCGTGATATCTGTACGTAAGCACAGAATAAAATACTCTTTTCCTTCAAAAAAATTATAAAACTGCTTTAAAATTAATTCTGAAGAGAATTTTTCGTGGCGTCTGTACGAACGTATGTACGTACGTGCGTAACGTACGTACGTTCGTGCGTACGTACGTATCTCGCATAACTCAAAAACGAGTAGCCTCAGAACGTTGAAATTTTGTATATGGGACTGCTATAACATGTAGATGTGCACCTCGTATTTTGGTTGTAATCGGCCGCACCAAACATATATAAATATATTTATTATCCACTCTATTACCCGGCTCATTGATCTCAGTTTCTTTACTCTTATATGTTTGTAAATTGTACATTTTTTGCTTTAAAAATGATTGAATTATGTAGTTTTTATCTTCCGGTTAAGGATTTTATGCCTTTAGTAAATCTGTGTGCAATATTTTTAGAATTATCAGCAATTTTAAAGTTGTTTAATTGCCGCTAAGCCTGTTTTTAATGGCGGCCATTGATGTTTACATTTGAAACAGGAGACTAGTGGATTTGTTGCCAATCTAGAGAAACTTAGCTTCGCAACAACAAAGATAACGCATTCATTTACTATTGCCAATTAAATCATGCTTAATTCTGAATTTTTTCAAGGAAATAAGCATTTGAGATTTACTTCGTAATTTTTAATATAGATATTTTGAGTTTTTATGTATTTTTGCCTTCTCGTGAAGTGAGAACTGAATTAATTAAATGAAAAATACTCAATCGTCTGTGAAAAACTGTTTCTGTTTTGTTTTGTTTGCTTAATTTCTTTTATACATAGTTCTATCTTTATTATAGTATTTGAATAAAACATGTGACAAGGATTAGATAATTCTTTAAATGATATACATTTTGTGCATTCTGGGTTATAATATGAATGAAATATAATACTGTTAAGTAAACCTAGCGCCAGAGTGTCGCTATGGTACACAAAGTGAATTTTAAAGAATGCATTTATTCTATTGTGGTTTATGCTCTGTTGGCGAAGTACGTTTAATTCAATCTGATAAGTTTAAATAAAATGCAAGAAAAAATGTGTATAATTTAATATTCCGTACAAGGAAGTCATGTGGTGTACACATCAGATTTTTTCATTAATCAAAAGGCTGAGGAAGATGGTGTATTGGTGTATTTTTAATTATGGCAAAGCACACTGGGGCTATCTGCCTAAGGGAAGGGATGCCTTCGTGGAGGACTTTCTAAGGGGAACTGGCTCATATACATGTTACACATGGGAAAAACCACGAAAACACCCATGCAGCCAGCCCGTTCGCGGGATTCGAACCTCGGACCGAACTACCAGTGTTCAGCGACTTTACCGCTCGGCCGTTGGTGGGTGGCTGACAAAGAAATTGTTGTGAATCTTAAATGGAATTTCAGACATTTAAATTTTTTTAAAGAAACAGGCGAGCAAAGGCCTTGGTATCCTAAGGGTTAACACACATGCATTGCCAAATAATTTTTCATCCTTAGTTTTATTCACCGTAATGCCATCATTGCTGTTTCCATAGCTGTTGATGCTACCCTTGCATAAGATGCACACAGGTTTTAGATACAGGATTTTTACAGAAAATTGAGTCTTATACGCTGGGAAATACCATAATTAATTTTAATAGAATTCAAGACAATTAACATGCTAAAATATAAACATTCCCATACTTAAAATACTTAACTCACCTTAAACTAAAGTATATTTTCACTATAAAGACTCTAAATTACATAAGCAGAAACTTGTTAGTCAATAAGTAATCATCACTGCAACTCTTGTGGGCAAAATCTGTAGCACAGGGGGTCAAAATTTTATAGTGTTATTCCCCTTATGCTAATACTTCTTCACTAGCTTCTTTTTTAATAATTATAAACTGCTATTTAGAACTCTAAAATGAAGATTTTGCTTACAAAGACTGATGGAGTTGATGTAAAAAAGAAATGATATTAAATATTAATAATAAACAGGTATAAACTCCTAAATTTTCAGAAACAAAATATTCTAAAATAAATATAATTCATATGAATAATGGGCAAACTTTTTCGGTCGTGGGCCAAAAATAAAAAAAAAATAAATAAATAAAAAATAAAAAAAATAAATAAATAAATAAATAAAAAAATTTAAAGTTTGGCAGGCCAAGATAAATTTTTCTAAAATTTAAAAACAATACACAAGTATTACAATTTAAACATGTTAATGAGATGAATGAAATTGCGATTTCATTTTTAAAAGTTCCTTATATTGAGGTTCAAAGTGAGATCTACTGATTTTAAGGAATGAAATTAAATGCTCATCTATCACTCTACTTCTGAAATAATTCTTTCTAAGGTTCATAGTTGAAAACCCTTGTTCACATATATCAGATGAAGCAAACATAGCACTGATGTTCTGGGCGTGAGCTATTATATTTAGGAAACTCACTTTCGATAATGATTTGTAAAACCCTAACTTTGGCATACTTAGAAACAACTGCTTAAGATGATTGTTAGATTGCAACTCAATTAATTCAAGCTGCAAATCTGACCACACTGCTTCACAATTTACGTCGAAAGACATGGGAAAAATATACGATTCTGTTTCAATGGCACTGAAATCTTGAAATTTGCTTTCGAACTCAAAATGCATTTTTTTCAAGCCATCTTCATAATTCTTAAGCTTCTCTTCATTTACTGAAGGTATTGAATTTAATCTCGGGAAATGAGACAAGTCGTTCTTAGCTAGCTAGCTGCCTAGAAAACAGATTAAGTTTTAGTTTAAAAGCTTTGAGATGGGCCCAGATATTTTCGATAAATTGATTTTTCCCTTGCATCTTGACATTCAAGTTGCTCATATGACAAAGAAGATCTGTGAAAAATGCAAAGTCCAAAAGCTATTCTGTATCTTCTAACATTTTGCACTCTACAGAACTCTGTTTCTCATGAAAGAATGAGACAGTGTCGTCTTTCAGCTGCCAAACTCTCTCGAAAACACAATCCTGCACTAAGCCACCCTACTTTCGTGTAATACGGTGCATCAGAGTATTCAGATTGCGTGGACTCGAAATTGCCTGTGAGTAAGCCCACAAGATCAAATAGTATTTACAAGCTTCATGACTGCATCAAGCATGGGTTTCATATTCAACTGCAGATTTACACAGAGCATCTTGATGTATGCAGAAAAACAACATTGTTCCTGGGACAATTTTGATTAAAGAGTTCTAGAAATTCAGATTTTTTCCCTGTCACATTTGGTGCTCCATTGGCTGTTATAGTACATATATTTGTTATAGGCACTTTCGAAGTTAAAAGCCCTTCCAGAAATTCACAAAAAATATCACATCCCAATAGTTCCCTTTAAAAAACACATGCACACCAGTTCCTCGGTAATTTCAATGCTCTCATCAACACCTCTTATAAATAATACTAATTGAAAAGTATAATTTATATCAGTGCTTTCATCCATGGCTATGGAGCAAAATTTAAAATGGCCAATCTTTGACTCTAATTGTGATATCAAATTTTTATCGATGTCTTCGATTCTAGAAGTCACTGTTTTTCGAGATAAGCTTACAGTCTCAAATTATTTTTCTTTGTTTAACGAATGAAATCTCAAAATTATTTTTGCATTGTTTAACGAACTCCCCATCACTGAGAGCTTTATTATTTTTAGCAATATTGTATGCTACAATGTAACTTGCATGTGTAGCTGCTTCTTGAATGGTGTTTACCTTCTTGAAACAATTTCGTCGGCCTGATAATTTTTTACAAAGGCATTTTTTCTGCATTTTGTTTTCTTTTATATTCGGACATTGCTTCATAACTGGAATTCTTATGCTTAGATGTGAAATGACGAGAAATGTTATATTCTTTGAAGACTGCTACAGCTTCTTTGCAGATGAGACACACTGGTTTACCTTTTACAATTGTAAAAAATATTTCCAGGTCCATGCATCCTTAAAAGCACTCTGAATCAACTTTACGTTTTTTAGTAGCCAGTTGAAATATTTTATGAATAACCCAAACAAGCACTAGCTATGCTATACTTTTAATAATTTCACCACTACTCACAATGGTGCTATATGTCCGCAATCTTTCCTTATGCAATCAACAGTATTAGAACTTGCGTCAAAAGAAAAAGATGCTGGCTGGAGCTTAAAATGTTCAGTCTGCCACATGTGAGGTCTAATTCACTTGTATTGGATTCCCATATGTCTGCTCCCCGAGAAAGAGATAACCCTTGTTGGCGCCAATCTACAGCTATAACTAACAAAGAACTTCCGCTTTTAACTCTTTACTGATTGAAAGCTATCTATGCTTGCTATTTCCATCGATTTATGTTTTGTAGAACAAAAATAGAAAAAGTAAAAAGATCACCAGTTTTGAAAAAAAGAAAGGAAAAAAATAACATTTAAACAAAGTAGAAAAGGAGATGGATATATAATATACAAATTATATAATAAATATATGGATATATAAATATATGGATATATAAATATTTTGGTTACAGCCGAAAACATCGCAGACGAAAACATTGCAGAGAAAACAACGCAAGGCGAAAACATCGTGCTACAAAACATCGTGGGAGAAAACATCGCAGTTCTAAAACATTGTGGTACAAAACATCATCGTCGAAATTAAAGCGGTTAAAAAACTTCGCAGTTTGAAAACATCGTCGTTGAAAATATCGTGGTAAAAAATAAAGTATCTACAAATCATCGCATGACTATAACATCGCAGACATGCTTTTTTCAGATATGCTTTAATAACTGTAAATGGATATTCCATAATGACTTGTGAGCGCAAGTGGAAAGAAGGATAATTTTTACTTTCATATTTTTTATTAATTAATAAATTTTTGCTGAGGAAATAAAAAGGAACTTAAGCATAGAAAATTAATGCAACTTATAGCACTAATAATAGAATTTTAAACCGGCATAGTTAACTAACAAAGGCCATTAATAAATCATTTTTATGAAGTTTTTACTGGTAATTTTTCATGAAAAGAATAATCTATAAAACGCATTTAATTTCTATGCTTAAGTTTCCTTCTTACTTTTCAGCAAAAATTTATTAGTAATAAAAAATGTGAAAGTAAAATTATCCTTCTTTATACCTTGCGCGCACAATCATTAGGGAATATCTATTTACAATTATTAAAACCTGAAAAAAAAGCATGTCTGCGATGTTATCGTCATGCGATAATTTGTAGATACTTTATTTTTTACCACAATATTTTCGACGACGATGTTTTCAAACTGCGAAGTTTTTGAACCGTTTTATTTTCGACGACGATGTTTTAAAACTGCCATGTTTTCTCTTTGCGATGTTTTCTTCCACGATGTTTTGTAGCAAGACGTTTTCGCCTTGCGTTGTTTTCTCCGCGATGTTTTCGTCCGCGATATTATCGGTGGACACCAATATCTTTTAATTTGCCTCAGACCGGCAAATTAAAATTCTATGTGCGAGCTAGATACAGCCTTCCGGCAGGCAGGAGTTTGCCCATCCCTGGACTAAGATGATGCTTTTATTAACTGCATAGGGAAAAATTATCATGATATATTATGACTCTAAATTTATTATAATAACTTCGTGATGTTATGGATTATTATTGACTGCATGTTTTATTTCAATAGTTTGCCGATGTTCTGTATTATTATGATCCGACAATTTTATTGTAAATACTGTTACTACTCTAAAGTAAAAGTTCTAATAGGCCCAATGTTGAGATCAGTAAATCTTCCCTACATAAAAAAAGTCTTATCAATAATATTAATTTCTTTTTGGTCAGTTGGCTTTTGTTAGCTTTGTTAAAATGCTGATTAGATAGATTTTTGCTAAATAAATATTAATTTACCTTAGTCTGTTATGCCAAGAATGAATATAACTTGATATGACCTAATTAATCATGTTGAATTAAATAATATAATTTTGAGTCCGTGAATTGGTCATACAGTTAGCCACATTAGATTTAATTAGCCATGCCATATTAAAACAATAAACAAATAACTTAAATTCTGATATTTTATTATAATTATGAAATATACCAATTATTAAAAATTTCACTGTTTTAACACAGTAATGGAAAAGTACAAATTTAGATTTGAAAGTGAAATACATATTAGATTTATATGGAAATTAAATATTCACAAGACTGTTCTTCCATGAGTGACTGTTTATTAAACTTTACCTTCAAGATTTTGCTAGTGTGAATACTATTTATGATACTTAGGACTCTGATTACCTACCCTCTATACCATAATGAATAATGAGAATGTACCCTAAGATTCTATGCATTTCTGAAAAACATCAATCTATTGTGCTTCCCCTCCCCCATTTATCAAGTAAAGAAGGGAGACTGAATCTTTGCAATGTTCATGAATCATGATATAGTTTGAGATTATTTCATTTTGCAAAATTAAATATTAAGTATAATAATGTTTCCCCCAGAAATCTTAATACTTAATTAATCTGCTTATTTTGCAAGTTAAGCAAACACACTACCTTTTTAGAAGTAGCCTTGGGATACTCTAAAGTAGGCTTGGGATACACTAGAATTGTAATACTGCATTGCACTGATTAAATACAACACATTTTACATGTGTGTGTGTGTGTGTGTTTTAATATATATATATATATATAATCGAAATAGAAATTGAAAAGCTAACAAGTAATGTGACGTAAGACCCATTTGGTCTTAACCATTTTCCGCTTTGTAATTTTTATAATTTTTGTAATTTTGTAATTTATGTTTTAATTATAATTTTTGTAATTTATGTTTTAATTATTTTTTAATTTTGTTTTAACTTGTTCCGTCGATCTGTTTTTTATATGTATTAACTTTTCACATATCACAATGATCAGATTAGTTTATTTGTGCATTCACATGTTTTCCAACATTGATTTTAACAGTTTTATTTCACGTGTAAGCTGTTTTTTCACTTTTCCATGTTAATATTTTTTTAAAAATTACTTCTATGTTAATATTTTAAAAATACTGCGTTGAACTATTTCATGGAGCTACAACTCCTGGTAACTTTTTAGCAAGCTCGCTACAATATTATATATATATATATATATATATGGATAAAAAACTTTACGAACAAAAAAATTAGAAACCATTGTAAGCAACATATGCAAATTCTACAGAGATGAAAAAGCACAGAAAAAATAATAATATTAATAACTGTAGAGTCAATTCAGCATAATAGTAACAAACCTAATGAAAATGCAGAATCAGTTGCCCTTAACTTTGTGACCAGGTCTGAATTTAACTGATTGATATCCGCTTTTCCAGTATCCGTTAGCTCATTCAATCTGTCAGCCCAAAATTCAGGAATGTATCTACAAGGTATGAACATACAATTATGCAGCTTCATTTAAAAAGAAAATTATGTCTTTGAATAAAAAATTTTATGCATTTCAAAAGAAATTGCTTCAATACCATGCACTATTTATTTAAAAATAAAAATGCATTCTGAAAACTTCAGATACATAATAACACTTCCAACAGAAGTGTAGTATTATATTTTTTTGCAAAAAGAATTTTAATATTAAAAATAACAAACATATTGCTCCTCTTTATAATCATGGAATAATATCCATTGTTATCACCTCACACTACATCTTTATTGTTGAATAAGATTAAAATTTAATTATAAAATGTTTTCAAATCTAAAAGTTCTAGCATTTTCTTTAATTGTAAAATAAAATGAAAAGGGAAAAAAATATAAGAAAATATTATTTGAACAAAATGAAAAGGAGGAAATATGCAAAGAGACTTATAATATTATTATATTTTTCATCTATCATTAGATATTTGAGTAGATATACATGGGCAAATTGTTGAATTTAGGTTCCGAAAATAATGATATAAAGGCAGTGCTACAAAAATAAAGAATGAAAGAGCAACCCAATAACAGAGTGCCTTTACAACATTTGCTTTTGCATTTCTTTTTTAAATGTAAAAATATGTAAAGAGAAAAATATTAAATATTCAAAAGATATTCTGTTAGAATAAAATTTTAAAAGAATATATATTGAGAGGACTGCAATCTGTACATCTTGAAAAATGTCACCAGTGTCATTTAATTTTATTTAAGATGCAGATGACAGTGTAGAGAAACACAGAAATTTTGCCATCAATGCATAAGGTATCCTAATATCAACCAAAACCAGAATTCCATTAATAATTTTAATACTAATGAAAATATTGCAATGAAATTATAAATGGGTTTACCTTGTTTTGTAAAAAAAGTGACAAAATAATAATAATAGTTGCCATTATTCACACGCAAAGAAAACATTGATATCAGAGCACCATCACATCTACTGCCAGTGTCTAAACTTTTCCATTAATATGTGGTTTCAAGAATTTTACAGTTCAAAGTAAGTTTGTGTAAACTCTCCCTATTAAATATTCTCATATAATAAAATCAAGCGAGTTCAAATCAAGGTAGCATAGTGGTCAATATTCTTTTAAAATGATGGATTTAAAGAAAATGAATTTTAATGATATTGGCATATGTTGCGTGACATTGTCTCTCCATTCAGCTTGAAATGTCCAATGATACTTCCTCACCATCAAAATTATTCAGAAAAATTTAGAAGAGGTCAATAACTGCAGTGTTATGATGGTCATAGAGAAAAATTAGATTAATTATGTGCTGACAAGGCATCCCTCACCAAACGCCAGTCTTCTCGGAATAATGAAGTCCTTCATAAATCACTTTCACTTATCTAAATACAGAAATTCACATAATTACTGTACTCAAACAGGTGAAATTAATCTCATCTGAGAATCAAGATCATTTCAGAATGCAAGGATTTTCCCGAATTGTCTGATAACCATAATCATATGCCCACTTTTCTGTAATTCCCCCCCCCCTCAATTTACAGACCATAGAAATAAGACACATTGAAGCTCATTTTGTAACAAACAACATATTTAAGCTCATTAACAAAAGCTTCTGATTCACATTTGGCAAGTTTTTACAGATGTAGGGGTAAAAGTTACTTACTGAGTGCAAGTTGATAGTTTGAGCCCTTTTTTAGAAAGATTCCCAAACAATCAATATTTATCATAAGTCAGTACACATTATCAAAACATGAAAAGAAAACATACTCTAGTAATTTGCAATACAAATTTGTATTATTAAATAAGAATCATGTGATATATTAAAAAATAAAACACCTTCTTCAAATCTTTCTCACATTATTTCTTTTATAGATATTTTTCTACAGAAGTACACTTGTTTTCTCTTAAAAATACTTCAGGGAACTGTGGAGACTCAATTTCGTGCAATCCCCAGCAACAGCGGCAATCTAGGAAATGCTTATCCTCCTTGTTCACTTTACAAAATTTTCGGCAAAATTCTGTATTATAGTAGATATTTTAGTGCAATTTTTTCTACTGTTGGCAAATTCCACAAGATCATATTTTTTAAAGTTTAAGGCAAAAAATATCACAATTTCTTAATAAAAACCATTGGAACTTGGAATACAAACAAAAATGGCAGTATTGCTTGATTGAAGGAATGTTATGAGCATGGTTACTACAGTTTGGCACATTCTGAAAATTTGGCAACTTCTGCCTAAGGTGACTGCATTAATACGTAAGTACCCTTTTTGATTTTAAGTTTTTTTCAACAATGTTTAAATGCTGGACTTACTCCTCAGTTGTTTGCTTCTAGACTTTTCCATGAGTTACTGAAGACATGACTGGGTTCTTAAGTAAGTACCAACAATAAAAACTTGCATTACAAATACATTTTTCAACTATCTTGTGTCCATTACATACATTAATACTTACAAATAACAATCATACTGCAGAGTTACCCTCAGTCAAATGACAGATGAAATGGGATTATAAAGTAGCAGACAGGCTAACTACACATGTTGGCTGCTCCATATTGCAAGGCACCAACTATAGGCACCTTTCATTTCTTGCCTACAAACACAATTTTAATCAAATTTCATTGCTATATCTTCATTAGCATTAAAATTATTAATACAATTCCAAGTTTGACAGATAACAGGGCATTATATATTATAGAATATTAGAAAGATATTTTATTCATAGCAGTTATGGCATAAATTAACACCTGATGCAAAATGTTCTTATGCTAATGAGCAGTGTATTTTTGTAATATTAAAGATAAATAAAAGATCTTGTGCCCTGTTGATTGGTAACAACACGTTCTCAAGTTTAAGATCTTTATTTGTAACAGAATTTTACTGTTATCTGAAAACAATTACACTTTTTTGAGCTATTAAAGATAACTAGCAATTAAATTACATTGCATTAAAGAAAAATCTGAACTCTGGATTTATTAGTATTCTGAAACATGATCACCAAGTCTCATTTAATAATTAAACTGTGTCTTGAGAAATCTTTCCACACACAGAAGAAATTATAACTGTATTTCTGTAGGTTCTTAATATCTTTTGTAAAAAAAGCTCTCATTTTTCCTACAGATATATGTTCCTTAACAAATATCATAGACAGATTTGTGATTAAAGAGATGATTTGTCAAAAAGAAATAAATAAAAAGAACAAACCTTATACCTCCCATTCCAGCCCAATTTGCAATCTCAACTAGCTGCAACTTGCGGTGGTTTTTATGTTCTTTATAAAGTTTTTCTTTTTGTATCACAGTCGAATTAAGGATATTCTAGAGAAAAACACATTTTAAAAGTTAATTTATAAAATAAATAATCAATAAATTATCAAATCAAATCGTTCAAAATCGATAACCTATCCCTACAAAAAGCATTCATATATGCATTCACTATAAATAAAAATAAGTAATTTTAACTTAAACTAATAAATTTCTATTAAATTAAACAGCATTTCATATTCAAGGAAAATATTAATGTATTAAAAAATTACATTTGTTATCAAAAGCTATAACGTAGTAAAATGCTTACAATTTGTTGCTGAAGGCAAATAAAATACTGTTCAACATCTTCTTTTGAGGATTCAAGAACTACATATAAAATACAGAAAGAAAACTGACAATTATCTAGCAATTTTTTTTAATGAAAAAATTTTATTATATATTGTTGTATTAACAAAAAATAGACTATTATTCTGGGATAAAAAGATAATTTTTCAACAGATAAATTTACCATATGAAACTCTACAACTCACAATAAAAGACTATACAAATATAGGTACTCTTCTGTTATTGGGACTGGATTCTGAAATATATTTTTTAATGGCTGTATGTATAGATATATGTGTTCCTGTATGCGTATATGTATATGTGCATATACGGACACATGAACAGGGTGTTTCATAGATCATGGGACAAACTTGGAGGGGTGGAGAGCGTACTAAAACATGCATTTTTTTATAGGAATGTAGTCTAAAGTGACGGGTTAAGGCAGGAACGCAAAAAAACGACACGAGAGGAAAATGTGTTTATGTACAAAATCAACGCAAAGTGCTTCTTTGTAGCAATACAGTATTCACAATAAATGTTCAAAATTGCAACCACCAACAGTAATACATGGCTTGGTAATGTCACAGAAGGGATTGACGAACATTTTGAAAAACGACAGGCATTTCGCGCTTGAAGCTGCAATGGATAGTCATGCAAGGTCCTCCAGTGAGTCAACGGGAGTCTCGTAAATGATGCTCTTCAGATGGCCCCATAAAAAAATCCACGCTGGATAAATCTGGCGAACAAGGTGACCATTGAATATGTCCACCACGGCCAATTCATCGGCCCAGAAATGTCCCATCCAAGTAATTGCGGATCTGCACGTGGTTATGGGCTCGTGCACCATCATGCTAGAACCACATGCGATCACGAACGACAGCCGGAACATCCGGTAACGCCTCTTGCAGAAAAATATGATAACATAAGCCATTTGTACACTGCTAAAAAAAAATGGGACAGTGCTATATCTCCCATTTTACTGGGGTGATTCACGAAATTCAAATTGCGTTCTTCATGTCTCGAAAGCGCGACTTAGGATATATATTAGATTTATATATAGCACTATTCTAACATAGGTATTTTGACACAAAATCGGACTTTTTCTGAAATAACATACCAATTTTTTTACATATTCGATTCTACGACTCAAATTATGCCAGAATACCAAGTTTTGTAAAATTCGTACGAGTAGTTTTTGAAATATTAGCTCTCGAAATTTAGTTAGCTCCTCAATGTTAATTAATTTGGCAAATATTTATTTATATCTCTTTTTTTTATTAAACTTTTTTTTTTTTTTTTTCTCTCACATTTCGAAATTTAGGTTCATTCCAAATAAAATTTACCCATTTTTTGTGTTTTATTTTTTAAATTTCTATTTTTAAATAATTTTTATAATTTTTTCGAAAAAAATTTTGAATTATAACCTATAAAATTTTTACCATCCTCTTAAAGTAGGTATATTTTTAAGCATATCTACAAAAAATTAGACTTTTTTATTCAAAATTTTCTAAGGTATACACAAATTTACATATTTTCGCGTTTTGAAATCTGGCATCTTTTTTTTGAGCGATAATAATGCCAAATGTGGTCTATGGGTTTTTGTTACACTATATTGCCACAGCAATTTTTAACCTTAAATTTCAAATAAAATTTTACGGAGAATTAATTATATGACATTTTTTCCCTCAATGATGCGTAATAAATATTTATTAATACTATATGAAAAGCTATTTTTTTAAATAAATTTTTTAATATTTTTTTTTAATTTCTCCCTTTTTTTTTTTTTTTTTTTTTTAAAGAGTAAATTTTTGTAAGAGTAAATTTTTACCTTTGGCGTTTTATCATCTGCTACTTTACTTCGTTTTAATCGAATTGTCTAAAACTGAGAATTTTCGTTTTATTTTTATTTGAATTTTATGACATTACCTGCACAATTTATTTCTAAACAAACTGATGCTTTTGAAGTGGCTGAAAGAGCGGCTGGTACTATCATCCATATTTTTAAAGCACAGTATATTTTTATAGAAACATAAGATTTAGAATAATCATTTTTATAACAGTCAAATTATGATATAAATATACAACCCTCTAAAGACTGAATTTAATGGAAGTTCAATGGTTATGTAGAAATGATCTGCAGCTACTTAATCGCTGGATAAGTCAGTAGATTCCGTGGACAAGTAAGAATAATTATATAAACGACACCCAACATTCTCAATTCAATTAATGACGAGGATACGATGTTTATTAAAAATGAATTCAAAAAGTTTTAAAATAAAAAATCAACTCATTTTTATCCTAAAATGTACTTTTGTGCGTAGCGTATTTTCATTATTCTAATTTAAAATTCTAATTTAGAATGTAATTGTCAAGAACTGATTCCTAATCATCAGTAATATAATAAGTAATTATTACGGTTATTAATAAATCCTTCTTATAAAGTAATTGCAAATATTTCAAAAAACTTTCTGTCTGAATGCAAATATTTTTCTGTGCAAATATTTTTAATTTTATATTAATCAGGATTGCACACGATATTATTTATTTGCACTTCAATTCTTAACATCAGTTTTAGTAGAAGTTACAAATCAATCATATTTAATTAAGGATTGGATTGGATTGGATTTGAATATTTAATTATGGCAAAGCACACGAGGGCTATCTGCCTAAAGGGAGGGATGCCTTCGTGGAGGACTTTCTAAGGGAAACTGGCTCGTATACACGTCACACATCAGGAAAACCATGAAAACCCCCATGCAACCAGCCCGTTCGCGGGATTCGAACCTCGGACCGAACTACCAGTGATCAGCGTCTTTACCGCTCGGCCGTTTGTAGGCCTTTATGAAATGGAGGGCGATAACTTTATTTAAAATGATTGTCAGAAATACCAAAATGTTTCGAAAAGTTGGATACTTTTTAATATACTTTCAGAATGCTTAAAGAAAAAGAGAAGAAAAATAAATTTTTTCGTAAAATTATTATTTGTATTTTTTTTTTAACTTAAAACTTTTCAATGTTATGATATTTGATTCTTGCGATTTCAAAAATAAAATATTTGACTAAAATATGAATAACATTTTAAGAAACCAAATGTAGGATAAAATTGTGTAAAGCAATGGGCACAATGATAAAACTGTTTAAAGCAGTGTATGCAAGTCATCCTAAGTTAAAATGTCGGTTATACATCTCTCTTATTTATATATATCTTTTCTGAACGGAACATTGAAAGGCGTGTTAACTGTGCTTTACTGTATTTTCTCTTTTAATAAATGCAGTTTTCAAACGCATCATAGTCTGGGTTACAAAGTATTCCTCCGAAAGAAATGCAATTCAAATAAATAAAATCAAATTCTGGAAAATTGATATTAATAAATATATTTAAAATGCTCAGTTGGAAGGAATAAATAGAAAATTTTAAAACAATTATCTGAAGAGACAATGCAACACAAACAATTGAAATAAAAGTAATAAAAATTTTAAAATTACCTAAAATAATAACTACGACAAAAAATATATATAAAGAAAAGTATTTGAAAAAAAAAATAAACGCTGCACCTTTATTTACGCAGTTCGAATAGGTAAATAGAAATTTTTGAAACAGTTATTCGAAATAAAAAAAAAAAAAAAAACTTGCAACTTAAACAATTAAAATGAAATTCGAAAAAGAAAAAAAGTTACTTAAAATAATAAGTTAATTAAAAAATATAATATAAAGAATATTATTTGGAAAAAAGGAACGATTGTGACTTTTTTTCCTCTCACAGGAAATGAAACTAGGTTGCCATATATTAAGAAGTTCGCCAAGTGAAGTATTCTGGCGCAAACTGACAAAAAAGTGCCAACATAAATTTGTGAATTTCTACGAAAATTTCGCTCCAAATTTTACGAAATTTCATATTTAGGCGTAATTTGAGTCGTAGAATCGAAATATGTAAAAAAAATTGGTATGTTATTTCAGAAAAAGTCAGATTTTGTGTCAAAATACCTATGTTAGAATAGTGCTATATATAAATCTAATATATATCCTAAGTCGCGCTTTCGAGACATGCAATTTGAATTGAACGCAATTTGAATTTTGTCAATCGGCCCAGTAGGTCGGGAGATATAGGACTGTCCCTTTTTTTTTTTTTTTTTTTTTTTTTGGAGCAGTGTACATGCAGGTAAGAAGTATGGGCCTATGAAGTAGTCGTTAACAATACCCCATTCATATGCTCACCCATTAATAAGTGGGTTTGGAATGCATGTTAAAGTGTGCCATGTGGATTATGAGTTGCCTACACCTGCATGTTGTGGCCATTGAAGATGCCGTCCTGTGAGAAAGTTGCCTCGTCCGTGAATAGAACATCTGATGGGAAATCCGCCTGTGCTGCACACTGCTGCAAGAACCAATGACAGAAATGAACTTGAAGAGGGTAATCTGTCTCTTGAAAAGCTTGGACTCTCTGCAACTGGTATGGGTGCAAACCATTTTCATGCAATACTCTCCAAACGGTGGAATGACTCGGCTGCAGACGACGTGCAGTAGCCCTTGTACTTGTCTGAAGTGATTCATGCACAATGTTCAAGATGGATTCTTCAAAGGTTGTCGTGCACTTCTTCTCCCACTCCTAAGGTCAGAGGTGGCTTCAAATGACCCATTTTCACACAGAGATCGATGCAACCTCTCGAACATTGTGTGCTTCGGCATACGCCTGTTTGGAAACCGTTCCTGGTACAACCGTAGCGCTGCTCTGCCATTCCCATTAGCAGCACCATACATGAGATGCATGTCAGCTTTTTCCCTGTGTATAACCCATCACGCTTGATATCAGATTTGCGAATGATCCTCTGATGCATCAGATCGTGGTTTGTCTGGGTCTGGCTCTCTACCGCTGCATTGCCATCCCAATCACAGCTGCAGTTCCTATTACTGTTAGTGTTCCCTTTTTTGAACATTTATTGTGAATACTGTATTGCTGCAAAGAAGCACTTTGCATTGATTTTGTACATAAACACATTTTCCTCTTATGTCCTTCCCTCTCTCTCTCTCTCTTTTTTTTTTT